TCTCAACCATAGAAAATAATACTGGTATGAGTGGTCAACTCAGGAGCCCTGTTATTGAAATCAGATGCCCACCACCTCCTCTGACACTACCCAAATAACATTGGGCAATCACTTAACCTCTGGGACCATGCTTTTTTCATCTGTAAAATGAAGGGGTTTCACCAGCTAACCTATAAAGGACTTTTCAACTTCAAACTTATTGATCCTTTGCTTCTAAGACAAAAACAATCCCTAGATTGCACCATGGTTGTTAGCAACCAAATGTAGGTCTGTTGAGATATTGCATAATTGAGGCAAATTTTCACCCTTTAGGTCAGAAAATGTTTACAGGGAAGGTAAAGACAGACCTGGAGAAACACTGTCCAGAGAGATTAAAGCAATTCAGTCAACAAAAAATGTGCTGGGAGAAGGATTGTTTGCACAGAGGAGACACAGTTCTCTCTAAGTATGACTTTTTTCATCTCTTTATTTGCCAAGATAAACAAACATGGAGTAAATCTGAACTTTAGCCAGTTACAAATAGTGTCTCTTCCCACAAAACCTGGCAAAGGAACGAAACCTCTCATTGTTCAAAATGTTCCCATCCTGTGATGTCAAAGTTGATGTTAATATTGTAATTGAGAGGACCCAAGTCTTCATGGACAATTCTCTAGCCAATGGTCTTGCCATCTTCATCTCTCAATCCCCGTCTCCCTAGCCTGACAAAGTAGCTCTCCCATATGTCCCCTTCCCCCCATTTTCACTGCAACTACTCTGCTGAAGGATCTCATCACCTCTAAATTAGGTTATTTCCATAAATTCCTAATGGTCTCTCAAACTCCATTCTGCTCCTTCTACTCAATCCTACATTTTACCATCAGTGGCAATCTTTCCAAGGGGAGCTCGGTGGTGCAATAGATAGAGCACTGGGCTTGGAGTCAGGAAGACTCATCTTCTTAAGTTCAAATATGGCCTCAGATGCTTTCTGTATGACCTTGGACAAGTCTCTTAACCCTTTTTGCCTCAGTTTCCTCATCTGTCAAATGAGAAGGAAATGGCAAACCATTCCATTATCATTATCAAAATGGGGTCATGAAGAATCAGACACAACTGAACAACGACTGTCTTCCCAAGGCACGGTTCTGAATGCTACTCCACAGCTCAAAATCTTTCAGTGACTTCTACAGACTGCCAAATATAACTGAAACTCAGAGTCCTCCATGATCTGGCCCCAAGCCACATTTTCAGTCTTGTTTCCTGCTTTTTGTTGTTCAGTCACTTCAGTCAGAAAGATAGATGGACAGATAGATAGATGATCGGTAGATAGAAAGAGAGAGAGAGAGAGAGAGAGAGAGAGAGAGAAGGGGAGGGGAGGTGAAGAGAGGAGAGGAGAGGAGAAGACTAGATTACAGATAATCTCAGAGGGAAGGAACTAGCATTAAGGGTTATTGGGAAAGACTTATTGGAGAAGTTGGGATTTTACCTGAGACTGAAAGGAAACCAGGGGTGCCAGGAGCCAGACATGAGGAGGGAGAGAATCCCAAGCAAAGGGGACAATCAGTGAGAATACCCAGAGTCTGGAAATGGCATATTGACACTGGATCTTAGAGCATGAGTAAGGTATAAGTAGTAAGGTATAAGAAGACTGGGAAGGTAGGAGGGGGTCAGGTTATAAAGGGCTTTAAAAGCCAAACCAATGAGTTTCTATTTGATCCGGGAAGCAATAGGAAGCCACTAGAATGACATGATCAGTCCTCTGCTTTAGGAAAATCAATCCAATAGCTGAGTGAAGGATGGACTGGAATGGGGAGAGACCTGAGGCAGGGTGACCCACCAGCAGGCTGCTGCAGCAATCCAGGTGTGAGATGATGAGGGATGTGGGCAATGCCAGAGGAGAGAAGGGGGAATGTACAAGAGATGTTATAAAGGTAGAATCAGGTATTATCCACAGGACGTGGTGACTGCTTGGGGTCACTGTGGAAGGGTTGCTCGGTGGTATGCTTGCCTATGGCAGCTGATAAGAGCTAGATGTCAGCTGACAGTGAGGGTATGGCTTTTTCCTTGGGGTACATGTCTTACACCCACATCAGATAATTCTAATCATTCCTCCAGCTTGGGAAAAAACAGTTTGGGAAATTCCCTGACTTTTTTTTTTTAAAGATCATTGCCCTTCTGAATAACTGTGTTTGCAGGGCTGACTTTAGGTAAAAATTGTGAAATAGGAGAATTTTCTCTTAGGAACTCCTTGCCTCCTCTTCTGTGCTCTTTCAGCCCTTACCCCACGAGATATTAGGCTCTCACTTTGGAACAATGCACCAATAAAATTCATTAATGCTAAGCTGTTGATAACTTAATATCATTAAATTGTATTTTTACATATATACTTAGATATAAGCAGATTTATTAGATATATGTCCTTTCCTTGGTGGAATGTAAGTTCTCCAAAGGCAGGGAATGTTTAATTCTTTGTCTTTATATCCCCGATGTCTGGCACATAGTAGGTGCCTAATAAATGCTTGTTGATTGATTTCCCTTCCAAAATGACTTACATACTAAATCTTTATGGAACCCAGTTTCCTCCCTGGAAAATGAAGGGTTGTCTTAGATGACCTTTAAGGACCCTTTTAGGTCTAAATCTATGGTGTCTTTTAAAAGAGGGCCAGTAACAAAAGGTAGGGCAGCTAGGTGGTACAATGGATGAACAATTGGACAATAGAAGATAATGGTCCACACCTAAGTTAAGTCTTAATTATATGCCCTCTTCCATTGTTCTTTCACTTAATATTGGTTGTCCCATGCTGGCATGCAGGTGAGCCTGAGTTCTAAAAGGCTATGTCAACTGAGCTCTGGTAGGACCTAACAAACTAGGAAGGGTTGGAGGATGGATCCATTGATCGAGACTTTGTCTGTTGTCTAGGAACAGCCCAGCTAAATTGGGGGAGGCTCATCACCAGATTGACCACAAGGCCATACGTTTTTTGGTCCCTTGATGATTACTAAGACATATTTACTAAGTCATAGAAAGAACGTGATCAAGGTTGGTAGAGAGAGAATCTCCCATTGAGCAAATCATAAATATTAGAAGCATTAAAGTAAGTATTTATTAGGTTAATCTTGTCTTCCTTGCTAGATTACAAACTCACCAAGGGCAAGAAGAGGACCATTTTGTATATGGAGATGCCTAAAGTAGTTATAGGTTATATAAAACTCAAGTAACTGAGAGTATTTGAGGAAATATAGGAATAAATAGAGATTCTCTGGAGGGAGAACAATAAGATCGTGCCCACTTTAAACTAGATTTTGTTTTTTGGCCTATTGTATATACTGAAAATAAAAGATAAAGACCTGAGTTTCTCAGGATTTAATGTTAGCAGCAGTTGTTGTTACTATTTGTATTCATCTCTGTTAGCAACAGCAATCCATGCACCATTTAATGAGCCCCACCATGACCCAGGAGTCCACTGAGTAGCTTTGGCCATTATCACTGATGTAGAAACCTAATTATTAGGCAAGCAGGTGTCTGTTCTGTCTGTCATAAAGAATATATAGTGAGGGGTTACCCAAATTTTTTTTTAAACCTGTTCTTTTATAAATAAATCAATACTTTTTTTGGTACCTTCTGTTTTTATATCACACTCTTGCCTGGAAATATCCACACTCCACAATGAGCCCTTCCTTATGACAAGAAGTTAAAATGAGCAACACTGTGACTGCTTCTAACAATGTATGCAGCATTCTGCCCTGATAGCCCCTCCCCTCTCTTCCATAAGGGAGGTGTGTTTCATGAGCTGTTTCTCCAGAACCAGTAGCAGAAATTTTTTTACCCAGGATTCAGGTTCCATTTTGCAATCTTTTCACTCACATTGTTATAGTCAATTTCTGTAATATTCTTTTGGTTCTACTTATTTCCTTCTGCATCCTTTCATATACATTTTGTCAAATTCCTCCAAATCCTTTTTATTGCTTACTTTATTGTTGTTCAGTTGTTTCAGTCATGTCTGACTCTGCACGACCCCATCTGGGGTCTTCTTGGCACAAACACTGCAGTGCTTCACCATTTCCTTTTTCAGTTCATTTTACATGTGAGGAAACTGAGGCAAATAGTGTCAAGTGACTTGCCCAGGGTCACACAGCTAGGAAGTGTCTGAAGCCAGATTTGAACTCAGGTCATCTGGACTCCAGGTCCAACTCTCTACTCACTACACTTGGTGCTTCCTACAAATTTTTGCTGACATGGTTCCTGACATAGAATTTACAATTGAGAAGGATAAGATGCAAGCCCAGAGAACTATAGCATACATCCCTACGACGACTGCACTTGAGAGATGCAACATAATTTTTGAAACATTCATTTAGATGCAAATTAATACACTAATTCCCCAAAATTATCTTTTTATTAAATCAGGCCCCCTAAGGATCTCAGTACTTAATCCTGCTTCTATTACTACATGTAATTGAAAATTAAACTGTGTTTCTTTGAAAATGGTCATAGGATCATGGATCTAGGACTAAAAGAGATTTCAGGGGCCATCTAGTGGAACCCTCTAATTTTACAGATGGAGAAACTGAGGCCCAGTGAAGTTAAGTGACTTGACAAAGGTTACTCAGGTAATAAGCATCAAAAGTGGGCTTGAAACCCATGTCCTGTGATCCCAGAGCCAGTGGTCTTTCTGCTTTGCCACGTGGTGTCTGAGGCTTATAGGCTGGCCATTGCTTCCATTATTCTCATTTAGTCATTCGGTGTAAGCCAGCAGATGAGTGTGACTTCTTCCGTTGTATCTTTCACCATAAGGTAGATTTTAAAAATTATTATTTTTAAAACTTTTGGTCCAGAATAATGATTTCATCAAGGTAGAGAATTCCCAGTAAGCAAACTCTTGCTCTAGATGCATATTGGGAAGCTGTTTGTAACAGATAGTCTTAGGAAATTATCTATGGCAGAGAGAGGTTTGGATAAATTGTTATTTGTTTGTAATCTCATGGACCACAACTTTAAAATCATTTCACACAAATCAGTTTATTAGGATTGTTTAAAAAAACATCCATAGCATGAAAATCTTGATATTATCATATACAACATTATATTATTTTTCCCCATTTTATCTTATTTTTCAATTAACAAGCATTTATTTTCTCCCTTCCCCCATCCCCACCTCCAATTAAAAAAAATCTTGTAACAAATACACATAGTCAAGCAAAGCAAATTTACATATTGGTCAGAGCCAAAAAATGTCTTTCTCCTTCTGTATCTTGACTCTATCACCTCTGGGTCAGGAGCTGAGGAGCTGCTTTATCATTGGTCCTCTGGGATTGAGTTCGGGCATTTCATTGATCATATATCTTGTCTTTCAAAGCTATTTGTCATTACCACATGCAGCATTACATTAAACAAGCAAAGAAGCAAAGTTCCCCAAAGAGAAATTTATATAGACAGATATGAGCATACACATACACGTATATACATATATGTGTATATATATGTGTGTATCTATATCTATCTATCTATCTATAGAATCATGGATGGGAATCACTAAAAGGGATCATTAGTAATCATGAAATCATTAAGTGCCAGAAGAGACTTTAGAGCCTCCCATTTTACAAATAAGGAAACTGAGGCTCGTGAAGGTGAATGGCTTTGACCAAGGTCACACATGTGATAATTGCCAGAGCCAGGATTTGAATCTAGGTTCCCTGACTCTAAAACCAGTCCTCATTTCCGAGCCCCTTGCTAATGATTACAAATTTATTCCATTACCTAGGAAATCAAAATGGGTTTATTTAAATGTGATTTATCTGCTTTGAGAAAACTACAAATCTTAACGTTGGCTAGAACTGAACTCCATTAGTATATGCAGTTTTACTTTTCTTCTCTTTCTTCTTCATGTCCTTTTAGGTTGGTGCTGTCCTTTTTATAGACGACTTTTCCTTTAGCTACAACATATTCAATTAATTCTTGGTAACCTCCGAACTGGTAAATCAGGTGCTCCCATCTAGGAAGAAATGAAAGCATTTCCATATCAACAAGACACAAATCACTCCTTGATAAGCCTCAGTCCAATATTTTAAAAGATCTCGGATTTTATCAGTACAGGTTAGTAGCCAGCTAGGGAGGGCAGCAGACAGAGGCAGGAAGATCTGGGTTCAAATCCTACATTGGATACTTCCTAGCTGTGTGCCGTTGGGCAAGTTACTTAACTTCTCTGTCCCTCAGTTTCCTCATCTGTAAAATGAGACTCAAGGTCCTCGAAGGTCATTTGAGGATCTATATCCATGACCTCTCCACATACACTATTTTTTGGAACTTGTTGTCAGAAATAACAACAAAAATCCATCACCTGGTAAGACAAAGCTTTCCAGACTTAAGTAAATTGGTTTTCCAATAACAAACTCATGGTCCATGGCTTGGCCCATCCTCAAAACTTTTCTCATTTGATAAAAAATAACCAGGAAAGGCCCTTTAGGCTACAGGCAACGCTGACTTGAGTCATCACTAACAAGGGTATACATTGAGTTAGGTAGGTGGGGGGGGAAGAGAGAGAGAGAGAGAGAGAGAGAGAAAGAGAGAGAGAGATAGAGAGGAGATAGGTATATAGAAAGATGATAGATAAGAAATATAGATAGATAATAGAAGATTGAAGTATATATTGATAGAGGATAGAAAGATAATAAATAGATCAATTGATGATAGACAGGTGATTGATAGAAGTAGATGAAACAGATGATAGAGAGAGGAAAGATAGGCAGACAGAAAGAGAATATAGATAGAGGTATAGACTGAGGATAGAGGAATGATAGATACATAGATAAAATAGAAATAGAGAGATATCTAGATGGATGGATGGATGGATGGATGGGTAGCTAGATGGATGGATGGATAGATGATAGGTAGATATTAGCAAATAGGTGATAGAGAGGAGACAGGTAGATATAAAGATAGGTGATAGAGGTATAGATAGATGACAGATATAGATAGAAGCAGATAGATGATAGAGAGGAGATAGAAAGATGATAGAGGTAAAGATAGGCATATAGATTGATAGATAGAGGGGTGATAGATAACAGAAGCAAATAGAAGCAGATAGATGAGGCAGAGAGGAGATGTATTGATAGAGGTATAGGCAGACATATAAATTGGTACATGATAGAGAGATGATAGGTGTAGATAGGAAGGAGAAAGGGAGGGAGGGAAGGAGAGATAGAAAGAGAGAGAGTACATTCATTAAGAATTTAGGTGCCAGTCTCTGAGCAAAGTGCTGGGGACACGATTAGAAGCCAGAGCTGAGGCAGCCTCAAGCTGGCAGATTTTATACTTCCTATGCTGGCTTGAGTCAGTCCCAAAGCATGGCTCGCTTAGGGCCTAAAGGTGAAAGGAAGCGAAAGGGGAAAGGAGAGGAGGAAGAAGAAAGAAAGAAAGGCTGCTACTGACAGTCAGATTCTGGGCCAGGTAGATCCTAATGTTGCTAATATCTAGCGACAGGATTTAAAACACAACTTGGTATGAGGATGGACATAGGACAGTAAGATGAGAAGAATCCCCACCTGGGTGAGTTGATGATAATGAGATCTCCCTGCTTGCCGACCTCCAGCGATCCATGGGTGTGAGATCGTCCCAGCGCATAAGCGGCATTAATGGTAGCAGCAGCTAAAGCCTCAGACATCGACATTCTCATGTTGACGCAGGCCAAATGCATGACTGTGGACTAAGACAGAAACATCAGCTCAGAGAAGAATTAGTGACAATGACTACCTAAAGTCTCTCCTTAAATCACTATTATTCTTGTTAGATAAAATGGTTATGATGTGTTAAATATAAAAGTGTGCTTTTCACACATTCTAATGGATAGAGAGTTTCATTTGAAGTCATAAAGTCCTGGGTTCAAATCTCACTTCTGATCTTACTATCTGTTTGACCCACGGCAAGACACAACATTCTCCACCCCTCCATATACCCAGCTATAAAATGGGATTAGTAATAGCTATAGCACCTTCCTCACAGAGCTGTTTGTGAGGCTCAAATGAGCTGATGTATAGAGATCTACCTAGTACCATTTAAATTATGATTCACTTTACAGAAACTCTACTTTCACCTTTTCTGGACCATCCCCAACGTGCACATTTTAAATCAAATAACTACACCATTTTTACAAAAGTCTGATTTATTTTGTTACCTCTGACTCTTGTTATAGGGAGGGAAACATGGGATCTTTCAGACCCCTGAGGTCTTCTGATAAATCATGGAATAAGACAAATCCTAAAATTGAATCTCTTTGAATCTCATTTATCTCATTTTATATAATGGGAACATTAGACTAGATGAGCTCTGAGGTCGCTGGACTTATGTTAGACTTATGATGGACAATGCAATAAACAATGAGACCCGGCAGCTGAAGAGGCCATTGCCAAGATAGACTGCGTTAGTAAAGTGGCCAGAACACAGGAGATGCTAGAGGTAGAGAAAGGTGATGGATGATGGAGGAAGAGAATAATCACATTTTTATAGTATTTGCTATGTGCCAGGTACCGTGCTAAGCACTTTATAATTATTATCTCATTTGAATTTCACAACCCTGTGAAGTAGGTGCTGTTATTAGCCCCATTTTATAGATAAGGAAACTGAGGCTCGGAGAGTTTAAGTGACTCACCCCATTCCCCCAATCTAATATGTTTCTGTGGCCAGATCTGATCTCAAGTCTTCCTGACTTGAGGCCCAGTGCTCTGTTCACTAGCGCGCCACTTAGCAAGTAATGACTATATCTGTCATACTGTGTTCAGTTTTGGGTACCATATCTTCAGAAGGACACTGATAAACTGGAAAGTGTCCAAAGAAGAGCCATAAAGATGGGGATCATACCATAAAAGGTTTGGTTGAAGGATCCAAGGGATATTTAGCCTGAATTAAGGGGGCCTTCACATATTTGAAAGGCTGTATCATGTAAAAAGGGAATGAGACTAATTCTGCTTCATTCCATTGGATAGAACCAGTTTCATGGGGAGATGGTCATAAGATCACAGGGAAATAGCAGAACCCAGCACCTCTGAAACCCAGTGGTCTTTCCCACTGGTAGCATGTTTCCTCCCAGCTGCAGATAGGAAGGGTCTAAGAACCAGCTTCCTCACAGGGTTATCCCAAAGTATAACCAGCTTAGGAATGGTGGATTCCATATTCTTGGCAGTCTCCAAGTGGAGGCTGTATGATCCCTTCCCAGGAATATAAATTTGTGTTTAGTGATGAATTAGCCTCCAGATGACCTCTGAGCTCTAGCCTTGAGATTCTGTGATTCTTTGTTTCAGCCCATTCCTTTTTTTTTTCTTTGACAGCTCTGTCAGGAAGTTCCTACACTCTCTTTGCCCAAGAGGGTCCAAACAGCATCATAATGACTACACTATTATTCATGACATTTTCTTGTCCAATTTCTAAACATTTTCCATAACCTTTCACAAAATAATTTGGGTTTTTTTATATTTAGAGAAATAATTTAACCAGACCTGTGATTTTACTGGTGTAAAGAGCTCCCAGGGAACAATCTCGTCTACCAATGGCCATCAGTACCTGCTATATGTCTTTTAGCCTTAAAAAGTGGTCTGAGGTCACTGATAAGTTAAGTGACTTGCCCAGGGTCATACTATCAATATGTGTCAGAAGTGGGAACCCAGGTATTTATGGCCATCTCTCTATCCACTAGGCTACACTGTCTCTATAGGGAAAGACTTATACAAAAGAATATTCAAGAGGGTTTGATTCTCTATATACTTAGCAAAACATACACAAATACACAAAAATAATTTACCATGGAAAAACAATATGCATTAGGATTGAAATCACTGCCAAGAGCAACTATTACCCCTTCATCTAACATCTTCCTGGCTTGCGGTTGCTTCAATCTAGGAGGAAAAAGAAAGGCAGCCATCATTGTTTGAATGTTTATCCTTCAAAGCCTAGCTTAAATCCTACCTGCTGCATGATGCTTTCCTGGTCACTACCAGAAGGAAGTGGTTTTTTTTTTCCTTTCTCTTAACCCAACAACATTTATTGTCCGTCCACACTACTTGCTGTTTGCAGATTACATAGGGATTTCCCCCACATGTCCTGGATGTGTCATATTCCCAAATCCTTTTGTGCATTTCCATTAGCTGACTCTCTTCTCTTTTCATCTCCACCTCTTGGCCTTCCTGGCTTGCTTCAAGTCCCAGCTAAAGTCTCATTTTCTACAGGAAGCCTTTCCCAATCTCAATTCATTCTTGTGCCTTCCCTGTTGATTATACCCAATTTATCCTGTCTATATCTTGTTTGTACATAGTTGTTGCATGTTGTCTACTCCATTAAATCAATCGGATCAAATGACATAATTGTAAAGGGCAGGGCCTGGCACGTAGTTTGTTCAGTCATTTTTCAGTCATGTCCAACTCTTTGTGACCCTATTTGGGATTTTCTTGGCAGAGATACTGGAGTGGTTTGCCATTTCCTTCTCCAGCTCATTTAACAGATGAGGAACTGAAGCAAACAGAGTTAAGTGACTTGCCCAGGGTCACACAGCTAGTAAGTGTCTGAGGCCAGATTTGAACTCAGGAAGATGAGTCTTCCTGACTCCAGGCCCAGTGCTCTGTACACTATGGCGCCACCTGGCTGCCCCACACAGTAAGTATTTAAATGCTTATTTTCTCCATGCCATCCTCATTAGACTGTGAGCTTCCTCCAGGGCAGGAACTGTCTTTTGCTTTTCTTTGCTTTCCCAACACTTAGCACAATGTCTGGCATAGCAAGGACTTAATAAATGCTTGTTGACTTATTTACATTGCAAGTTTGTAGAGGACAGGATTCATGTCTTCAAGCTGTAAACACAACAAACCATTTGGAGATATTTATGAAGGAAATGAAAATCTGCCCATTCTCCCATATTGAATATTTACATTTTATGTGGACTATATAATTGTACCATTGATGCCATTAGCATGAAATTTCTAAAATAGCACACTTTGTTTCTCTAAGGACCTAACAGAGTATTTGTGCATAGTAGTTATTCAATAAATAAGTGGGATACAGCCCTTGTAAAATGTCAGACTACACAATTTCAGAAAGCTAGGTCCCTGCCAGATGCCATAATTAGTGAATATACTTAAGCATTATATGTAAGTTTCAAGCGAATATCTGATGGAAGACAGTCCTATGATGAGTTAAACAAAGGACCTTCTAGATAGAAAAAAGACAGTTACAATATTCAGGCAACTAGCAAATACACACATTATATACATGACAGTGATTTTTCTTTTGTTTTGTTTTGTTTTGCTTTTGCTTTTGCTGTGAATATAGAAGGAGAGGGGCTGGGGTGGGAGTGGGGACCTGTAGGAACTAGGTTCAGAGGAGCCAGAAGGAATGATAAGGCTGCTTCTCCTTTAATTGGCTTCACCATCCAAAAAAAGGCAATGACAAAAGGAAACTACAGGCAGACAGTAAAAGTCACCTACAAGGGCTTTTGATGACAAGTTGATTTGAAGTTCTGTGTAGTCATGCAAGATTTTTATTCTAGATTAGGAGTTCTTAACCTGTTTTGGGTCAAGGCCCTCTTTGGCAGTCTGGTGAAGCCTATGAACCCCTTCTCAGGATAATGTTTTCAAATTCATAAAATAAAAGACATAGGATCACAAAGGAAACCTATCATTAAAATACAGTTATCATAAATATTTTTTAAAAAATAAGTTAATGGATCCCAATTTAAGAACCCTTGCTCTAGGTTAAGAGATTAGTGATGAGCTGAATGAAGTATTTTACTCAGTCATGGGGAAAAACCAAGGCTGGATTATGCAGTGATTAATAATAGTTGTGATGAGTGAGAAAGGTGCTTAATTAGATATATGTATGTCTTTAAATCTTGCTCTAAATTGTATAGCATCTCTTTAAATATAGTGACTAATAACACAAAGAAACTTATATTTAACTCATTGAATAAAGAGTTATGAGGGCACTGAACATTCTATTTCATTGCTATAGAAACTCTCAGTGAAGAAATTCCCCTTACCAATGCATAGTGGTACCTGTTTTGCAACTTATGGTCTTAGAAATTTGCCCTGGAGCACCGGGAGGTTAAATGAGTTGGTCGCCATTACTCTAAGAAAGACAATATTTGTGTAAATGGAGGCATGTTACTGTAGGGGAAAGAAAGCTGGTTTTGGAGGCAGGAAGACCTGGGTTCAAGTCCTGCTCTAACACATACTCTGTGTGACCCCTGACAAATAAGTCACAACTCCATCCTATACTCTAAGCAAACCTATAAGTTACATTGTTAGAGTTCCTTCCCAGAACTCCCTAATCTATTAAAATTACAGGTCTAGTCACTACCCTATTTTTGTAAATATATATACATATATATGTGTGTGTATGTATATACATATATATGTGTGTGCAAATATATATGTATGCATATAAACATAGTTATATACACACACACATATATATCATAATTTAACAGAAAAACATGTTCATTTTTTCTCTGCTCACACTATCTTTGTAAAAGCTGGTGATTTAGATGGCAAAGCACTACCTAATGAAATTATGTCTACCTATAGACAAAGTATCTAAAAGGCAGCCTTCCAAACCCACAGCTATAAAGTGATGGTAAATGCTACATAGTAACATTATATAAGCATTATTTTGACTGTACCTGTTAGGTGGAACAGTTGATAAAGTCCTGGGCCTCAGCTTCAGATACTTCCTAGCCATGTGACCCTGGGCAAGTCACGTAACTTCTGCCTGCCTCAGTGTCCATATCTATTAAATGGGGATCATAATAGCACCTACCTCCCAATGTTGCTGTGAGACACAAAGATATTCGTAAAGCCCTCTCTGAATCTTAAAGAGCCATATAAATGTGAGCTGTTATTATTCCATCAGCATAAGGAATTCCAGGTAAGGAAATTCCACTACAAATGGGCACCAGCCCCTGCTCTGAAACTTGAATTAAAGAATGCCCTGGAGCACTGAGAGGTTAGTATGTGTCAGAGACAGAACTTGAACCCAGAGCTTCCAGACCCCAAGGCCAGTTGGTTGACTCCATATCCATGATGTCATGCTGCCTAATAAACCAATAGTTCTAAATGGTTTGATTGAAGAAGTAGGTTAAATAAGTAGGTGTGGTAGGAAACAAGACTTGTCAAAGATAATGTCACACTCTTTCTAAGGTAAATCGTATATCAGTGCATTTCCAGAGTTGGGACTATTGGCATCACATGATACTAGCTGGCAAGTCAGTCTTCGCTTGAGATCTGTGAACTACTTTTTCATCTATATCTATTTATCTACATATATATGTATATATATGTGTATATATGTGCATATATATACATATGTATATATGTGTGTATTTATATATGTGTATATATATGTGTATATATATGCACACATATGCATATATATGTAAAAGTTCAAAAGAGCTTTTTTCATATATCTATATCAATCTTTTGTTGTTCAATCATTTCAGTTGTGTCTGACTCTTAGTGACCCCATTTGGGGTTTTCTTGGCAAAGATACTGGAGTGGCTTGCCATTGCCTTCTCCAGCTTATTTTACAGATGAGAAAACTGAGGCAAACAGGGTTAAGTGACTTGCCCAGGGTCACACACCTAGTGTCTGAGGGCAGAATTGAACTCAGGGAGATAAATCTTCCTGACTCCAGGCCCATGCTCTATCTACTGCACCACATAGTAGATACTTAATATGCTTAACAAAGATTTGTTGTTGGGTTGATTGCCAGGTTTCCAGAATTCATCAGTGTTACCTGGCCTCAAATCCTTCCTTTGCTGCTTGCCACCTGTGTGACCTTACACAAATCATTAATGTCTGTGGGTCTCAGTGTCTTCAGCTTTAGAATGAGAGTATTAGATTCGACCCCTTCTGAGGTCCCTTTCATCTCTACACTATCATTCTAAAACCCTGTCAAAGTCTTGTGTTGCTTGGACCTTTCACTGGAATCATTGTTTCATTCTTGGTTTGTATCTGTCCTGGCAGTCTTTACCCATCTTCCTTCTTTTCACTGTTATACCTGAAGGTTTGGAGCTCCCCTAGGAAATTCCAATGTAGTAAAGAAATACGACATGACCCCTACTGAAAAACTTATGAATTGGACTTGGAGAAAATTTCTGATTTCTTCCTTAGAACTTTGCACTAGGATTTCCTTGGTAGATCATCATGATCTGAATCCATGGTCAAGACTCGAACCCAGAGCCTTTAGCATCCCATTCCATGGACCAGCCTGCTATAATAGCTAGCTCTGGTGGGGCCACAGCAGGGACCTCCAGTAATTGACCTGGATCGAGCTGGTTCCTTAAAGGGTCTTCAAATATGGTTAAGAACTATAGAGACCTAAGGAAGGTAGAGTCATCCTTGGCTTATGAATGTGCCTTTATTCTTAGCAATGCGTTAAAAAGCATTACCTCAGCATGTAGGCGGTGGTGGGTAAAAGGACAGCCGAACATTTTCCAGTTGCCATGGCAGCAATACCTGCATCGCTAACTTCTTCCAGGTGGCTAATTGCCCGGGCTCCCAGTTCAGCTCCAAGCTGTGCAAAATGTGCAGAGAAGGAAAGACTGACAGAAATTAATGGTGGATCAGTAATGAGATGCTAAAAAAAAAGTTCTATTCCCTCTCCCCTCCAAAAACTAACTGTTACTGTCTTTTGTGCAATCATGTTTTGGTTTTTTTTTTAGGTTGGATGAGTAATTTGTAATATGACATTCATTTGAAAATGGCCATTAGCTAATTTGTTGTTTCAAAGACCAGTTTGAAAAAAATATGAATACTTTTGTGTAGAATTATAACTGGGGATTGTTAGTCCTGGGGCAAATACCACAGACTGCATCTGAGAAAAACAAAACAAAATATTGTATGTGGGTCAAGCCACCACCACATGCAGGGAACGTATGGACGCTCTGTCTAGGAATCTGCCAAATAGAGTACGGTAGAGTAGGATGGGGCAAAGCTCACCCCAGCTCACCTTCTGGTAGTGTCCTCTTTTAACTAATTACCCTTGCATTTAGGCTTGAGTTCAGAAAAGTTTTGCTAAGAAATAGAGCTATCAAACGTACAATGATATACCTTGGGAGGTTATGGTTCTTTCTGGGTATCTAAGTCAAGGTTTTATGACTTCTCAAGTGTAATCTTTTTGAGGGTAGGTAGGGATTGTTCCTGTTTTTGTTTTTGTATTCCCTGTGCCCAGTAAAGTTTGGGGCACAGAGTAGGTGCTTAATAAATGCTTGTTTACTGAGTAATTATTGATTGATATAGAGAGGGGATTCTTTTTCAAGTATGGGTTGGACTATGGGTACATGAGGTCCCTTCTAACTCTGAGATTCTGGGATTCTGTGCATTCTAAGCTCTTTTGCTTCAATACTCCTGAAAAACAGGTGTAGTAGATACTTTCTAATGCTGGTTCCCTGGGGCAAAGCCCTGATTTTCCCACCTTACTCACAGTTCTGCTTTGGGGAATAGAGTAAACACACTGACTCAGAAGAGTGGCACTAGTAATTAAAAGTCACTATCATGGTATTAAAAAAATAAAATGAGAGAGTTCATAGGAAGTCCCCTGAAAGAACTTCATGAAAATAGGTCAATTAAAAACATATAAGATCCAATCTCAAAAATTTGGAACCCTCTACACATTTTGAGAGTACCTGGTTCAGTTTGGGATAAAGAGGCAAGAATATATGTGTATGTGTGTTTGTGTGTGTGTATACATACAAATATAAACATATAAACAATCACATATACATATATACACATTTATGTGTTTCAAACATAAACATAGATATACACATATGTATGTATATATGTATGTGTGTACTATTAAGCCCAGAGTCACACAGCTAGTAAGTATCTGAGGTAGGATTTGAACCCAGATCTTCCTGTATTCATTATATCTGTTGCACCACCTAGCTGCCAGAGTCTACATATGGCATGTTTCCAAATTTCTCACTATTACAGTTACTCTTCTCTGGCCATGCTCCAGTTTGTTAATGTTCCTTTTCAAACATTGTGCCAAGAAATGAACAGAACATTAAGGATGTGGTCTGAGGATAGTGGATTCATTACATCCTATGTTTCTGAACTTATGCCTCTCTTAAGGTCTTATCTAAGACCCCAGTGGACATCTAGGGGGTGCCATAGTGCATACAGTGCTGGGTCTGGAGTCAAGACTCATCTTCCTGAGTTCAAATATAGCCTCAGACACTTACTAGCTGTGTGACCCTGGGCAAGTCACCTAACTCTGTTTGCCTCAGTTTCCTCATCTATAAAATGAACTGGAAAAGGAAATGGCAAACTGCTCCAGTGTCTCTGCCAAGAAAACCCCAAATGGGGTCATGAAGAGACAGATAAAATGACTGAAAAAACACAGAAAGATCCTGTTAGCTGTTCTGACTGGCATGTCACACCATTGACCCACATTGAGCTTGTAATTCTTTAAAATTCCTGATCTTCTCACACAAGCTATAGTTTAGTCATACCTCTACCACCTCATACTTGCGTGGCTGATTTTTTGACCCTAGTGATAGAACTTTACATTTATACCTATTAAAATTTTATCTTATTAGATTTGGCCCATAGTTCTCACTTATAATGTTTTCGGATCCTTACTCTTTTCATTCAACTTGTTAAATACCCTCACCTGCATCGTGCCATCAGTAAATTTGATAAACAAGGCTTTTATAGCTTCTCCCAAGTCATTGATAAAAATAATAACATAATAGGCCCAAGAGAAAATCCCTGTGACATTCCACCAAAGCCATCCCTCCGTGTCGACGTCTCTCCATTCATAACTAGCCTTTGAGTTCAGTCATCCAATGGATTCTGAATTCAATTAATTGTATTATCATCTAGTCCAGCTCTCTCTCTTGTCTATAAGGAGAGCGGGAGAGACGTTATCAAATACTTTGATGATATCCAGGTATTCTATCTTTTCAGGATTCCTCGAATTTACTAATACGGTATCCAAAAAGGAAAAGTCTCAGAGTCATTCTAGATACTCCTTGCAAAAGAAATATATATTGAATGAACAGTCAAAAATGCTGTGATGCTAAAATGAATGACATCACAGAGTTATCTCTCTTTTCATTGACATCACCAGTGGAAGATAAGAAAAGTCAATATTTGACAAGCCAAAATCACCGCCACCATCAAGAACCAAGTAATGAATAAAGGTCAGTTGTTCCCAGATTCAAGAGCTAAAACCCTCGCCTTGGCATATCAGTTTCTCACATCATTTGTTGACTTGGAAGATACTAGCAAAAAACTTTGTATGGTCTGAACAAGCATGAAGCTTCATCATCTCCTATCAATAGCTGATAACCTGACCCACTTTCCCTCAATTTCCTTTTGGGTTAGAACAAGAGAGTACCAAATGTCCAAAGGATTGGGAAGCTTATCACATGAAGTAGCATGGCTCAATGGAAAAAGGAGCTTATTTTGGATTCAGAGTTCAAATCTTGCCTCTTTCTAGATGTTGACTTTGAACAAGTTACTTTTCTGAGCCTCAGTTTTCTCCTCTATAAAATGGGGTTGAACTAAATGATCTTTAAGGTCCCTTCCAGCTCTAAATCTGTGATCCCCTTGTCCGCCTTGTTGTTTACTCTCCCTTCCAAAAGCATTTCATGGGCTTTCGTGTAGTGATCCAGTGAGCTGCCCTAGAAGGGTGGGAATAGCGCTGGACTCTCAGAAGCCAAAGCTGGGGCTGTTTGGCTTCAGTCAATGTTGGACTAGACCCAGATAGTCAAACAGGCTTTGTCTGCTGTCTGCCACCAGGCACTCAAAGCCCAATTTTGGCTCCAACCAGAGCCTTATTTTCTAGCCTCATTTTATATTTCACTTTTCTTCACCTGCTCTAGATTCTATCTAAATGGCAGCTGGATGTGGCAGTGGATATAGTGCTGGCTCTGCAGTCAGGACAACCTGAGTTCAAATTTGACCTCAGACACTTGCTAGCTGTATGACCCTGGGCAAGTCACTTAACCCTCTTTGTCTCAGTTTCCTCAACTGTAAAATGGGGATGATAACAGTACCTACCTTGAAAGGTTGTGGTAAGGATCTGTTACATTATTTATTTTATCTATAAAGTGCTTTGCTGACCTTAAAAGTGCTTTAAAATCTTATTGTTGTTATTATTATTATCATCATATCCCTTGCACAAAGTAGGCCCTCAATAAACATTTTTTGAATTGAACACATGGGCTAAATCAGAAAATCATCACCAACACATTTGAAAAAAGTATACCTCAGCAGCCTTCATTGGGTGGAGCTCATCCCCATGGAAATTAATTTGTAACCCTATAGCTTTTCCCCTCTGAAGAATCTTTCTGGTAGAATGAAGGTCAAAGACCCCCTTCTCACAGAACACATCGATATTGTCGACATGGATTTCACTGCGTTGACAAAGTTCCTTCAGTTTAGGGAGGTGGTTGTAGACAATGTCATCAGCAGCTTCCGTCGGAGTTTTCCCTCTGATGGAAGAAAATATGGAAAGGGATGCCAAATGATTTTGGAAAGTTGTTGGTATTTGGCGGGTGGGGCGCCTTAGGGAGAGCGAGGATCAGAATATTTAGGGAACATCCATGTGAATGAGCAGAGCATAGATCTGGAGCTGGAAGAGGCAATAAGAGATCACCCTGTCCAACTCCCTCATTTTACAAATGGGGAAACTGAGGCCCTAAGAAGTTAGTGACTTATTCTACATCACACAGGCGTTAACCACCACAGAGGTAGGATTAGGGCTCACGGCCTCTGACTCCAAAGCCAATATCATCTAGTAGGCACTGAATAAGTACTTGCTGAATGGAATGAATGACCCCAGGAGGTCCACTGGCTGAGGGACGTCTTCTTGACTGTTCTGCTGCTAGCATCTTAGCCGCCTGCCCCCAAACAGAGCCGTCAGTCACTAACCCAAGTGCCCTATCCCCTACCCTGTCCTTTATGTTCTATCTCCTTATTTGACCCTAACAACCCCACCACTTTTCCACTCCTTTTGCATGTTGTCTTCCCATGCCCTTAGATTGTAAGCTCCTTGAGGGCAGAGATGGTCTTTCTTTTTATTAATTGTATCCCCAGTGCTTAGCACAGTGCCTGGCACATAGTAGACACTTAATGAATGTTTATTGGATTGGACTGAATTTGGTCAGGTTGATTAGGTTCCAGAAGCCATATGGCAGTACCCTCTCTCTTTGGGGAAAAGGAAAGAACCTTCATTTGAGAGGCAACATGGTGCAGTGGTAAATTTGTTAGACTGGGAATCAAAGGACCTTAGGTCAAATTCCATCTCTGCTAAATACCATTTGTGTCCTCTTAGGAAAGTGATTTCAATCTCTCTCAGCCTCAGTTTCCTCATCTGTAAAATGAGGAAATTAGACTTGATGAACAGCTGGGCAGTACAGTGCCAGGCCTGGAGTCAGAAAGATCTGAGTTAAAATCCAACTTCAGACACTTACTAGCTGTGTGACCTTGGGCAAGTCACTTTACCCTGTTTGCCTCAGTTTCCTCACCTGTAAAAATGAGCTGGAGAAGGAAATGGCAAACCACTCCAGTATCTCCACCAAGAAAACCCCAAATGGAGTCACAAAGAGTCAGACACAACTGAAAAATGACTGAACAACCAACCAGACTTGTTGGTCTCCAAGGTGCCTTCCAGTTCTAAATCTATGATCCTATGATTCTGTGGCCTTCCTGGGCCTCAGTTTCCTCATCTGTAAAATGAGGAGTTTGTATTAGGTGGACTCTAAGGGCCCTCCCATGATCCTTTGATGCTTCATCAGACTGGGAGGGTGGAGCATCTTTCAAAGAGTTATCTACCCAACTTCTTCTTTGGGAGGATGTGAATGATCTCCCAGGTAAACTGCTCAATAAAAGCAGTGATTCTTCACTCTCTACTCCCTCTATCCCCCCATCAGTCCTATTTCTTTAAACCCATGGATATATCAAATATATACATATATGTATGGATATATCTATATCTGTATCTATAGACGTAGATATGGATATGGAATAACAGATCATTACAGACTCTCAGAGGGGCACCATTAGCTCCAGGAAAAGCATTTCGATTACTTGGGCACTGAGTGAGCTCCGCAGTAGGTCGAGGAGATGCTGATGTCCAATTCTCTCCGAGCCCTTTCGATGACCCTCAGCATCTTCAGCTCCGTCTCCAGGTTCAGGCCATACCCGCTCTTGCATTCGACCAAGGTGCTCCCCGCCCTCATCATGCAGAGCAGGCGGTATCTGAAAGTGCTGAAGAGCTCTTCTTCTGAAGCCTTCTGGGTATGCTCCACAGTGAAGTTTATTCCTCCTCCAGCTTGGTGTATATCCATATACGTGGCACCTGCCAGCTGAACACAGATTGCTCTTAAGAATAACGATAATAGGGACAGCAGGTGGCGCAGTGGATAGTGCTCTGGCCTTGGGATCAGGAGTACCTGAGTTCAAATCCAGCCTCAGACATAAAACACTCACTAGCTGTGTGACCCTGGGCAAGTCACTTAACCCCATTGCCTCATCCAAAAAAAAAATAAGAATAATGATAATGGTGACAAAACTGATAGCTATAGATCTTAGCTAGATCTCTTCTAGCTAAGATCTATAGTGCTTTGGGGTTAACAAATCACTTTACTCCTAGGGCATATGAATATATAGACATATGTAATCTCATCTGATCCTCACAATAACCCTTAGGCATGATTATTATGCCCATTTTATAGATAAGAAAACTGAGGATAAGAGATCTAGTGATTTGCCTTGAGTCACACAGCTAATAAGTATCTGAGGCAACATTTAGAATCAGGTCTTCTTAGGCTGAACTACCATGGCAGTTGATAAATCAACCAATCAATCAGTAAGCATTTTGTTGTTGTTTATTCATTTTTTAGTCGTGTCTGACTCTTCAGGACCCCATCTGGGGTTTTCTTGGCAAAGATACTAGAGTAGTTTGCCATTTCCTTCTCCAGCTCATCTTACAGATGAGGAAACTGAGGCAAATGACTTGCCCAGGACCATACAACTAGTAAATGTCTGATGCCAGATTTGAGCTCAGAAAGATGAGTCTTCCTGATTTCAGGCCCAGCACGCTATCTACTGCACTACTGAGCCGCCCAAGTATCTACTGTGTGCGAAGGATTATATTTGGCACCAAGGTACAAAGACAAAAGTGAGTAGATCCCAGCCCTCCAAGAGCTTACATTCTCTCAACATGCAAAGCACATCTGTAAGTATAGAAGAGATATCTACAAAACAAAAAAAGGTAATGGGAGGGGGAACTATGAGGGAGGGGACCAGAAAAGCCCCCATGTTGAAGGTGATATTTCAGCTGAGTCCTGAAGGAAAGGTTACTAGAGATGCCAGGAGGTGGACATGAGAAGGCTGTATAATTGAGTGTGAAGAACTAGTGTCTATGGACAAAACGTGTCAACACTTCAGGCATCTGTGATTTTTATCAGGGTGAGAATTCTCACCCATGACGCAAGCCATCACCCCACCTTGTCTCAGCTAATAGTTTTAAGAGGTCCAAAAAATTCAGACCCTTTTGGCCAGCCACAGGATGATTCTCTCTGAATGTAGCCAGACTCGTCCTCAGATCATACACATAATTTGGGGGACCCCAGCAGTCATCTAGTCCAACCCGTAACTGAAGTGAACCCCTCCTATAACTTATCCAAGTGGTTGTCCATATCCTAGGCTGCAGACCTCCAGGGACCAGGAAATCGCTGCCTCTCTAGGCAGCCCATTTCCCTTTAGGACAGCTCTCATTAGGATTCTTTTTTCAGTTGTCAAGCTTAATTTGGCCTCTTGGCAACTTCCACTGGACATATGGTACACCCAACCGCTCAAACTCACTGCCTGCAAACAGCCAGCCAAACTCCCTAGTGTGGCCTGAACCAGATTAGAATATAATTGGGAAATTATTAACAAAATAAATAAAAATACAATAAGACATGGATAATGTTGATTTGTGGTTTTCTAAGTCAATAGGAGACCTGCAGAGATCCCTTTATATTTGAGTTTGACACCCAGTGAAATTCACCACTAGGCCCATGCTAAAAGCCTTCCCAGCTTTGTAGGGTCAAAATTTAGAGCTAAGAGACCAGAAAATCACCTGTCCAGAGCTAAAAGGGATCTGAGAAGCCATCTTGTCCAATCCCTTCATTTTTACAGATGAGGAAACGGATGCAAACAGGGTTAAGTGACTTGCTCAAGATCACACAGCTAATAAGTGTCTGAGGCCAGATTTGAACTCAGGAAGATGAGTCTTCCTGCCTTAAGGCCCAGCATTCTATCTATTAGACCACCTAGCTGTCTAATATCCATCTCTATCTATATCCATATCCATAACTGTCTAGATCTATATCCAAATCTATATAGATCCATATCTATCTACATTCATATCCATATCTATATATCTATTAATGTCCATATCTATATCCATAGTCATATCCATATATCAACTGATATCCATATATGTATATACATAACTATATCTATCCATATCTATATTCATATCCAAATCCATATTCATATCGGTCTCCATATCTATATGTAAGAGTATAGATATATATTTATATAGATAGATCCATACATATACATGCATGTATAGGTGGATATATGCATACACACACACATAAATGGCCTTGTGGACAGGTATGTCCCTCTCTGAAGAAAGCCTGTGGCTACCATGACTAAATATGATGTTATCCCAGATGATTTCCCAGCAGTTCACCAGACAGAACAATAGAGACATAAAAACATTTAGGAAAGAAGATTTAGAAGGGACGTAACAGGCGGTTTCAAATATCTGAAGGGCTGTCACCAGGAAGAGGGTTTAGCTTGGACCTGCTTAGCCCTAGAGGGCAGAATGAGAAGCAATGGATTCAAGTTGGAGGGGCAAACTTAGCTTAGATAGAAGGGAAAATTTCACCATGAGAGCCATCTGCAAATGGAAGCAGTGAGTTTCCTCCTCACTAAAGGTCTTCAAGCAGAGGCTGAATGACCATTTGTTGGGTTTGTTTCAGAAGGTCTTCTTATTCAGGCATGTGTTGGACTTCTTGGTCACCTCTAAAGTCCCTTCAAGCTCTGAGATTCTGCCATTCTGAGATTTTTCTAATGGTCCAAGCAAGCAAAGCAATACAGAAGAGTATGCATTTCAGAAGCTGTGTGGAGTATAGATCATATAAAAAAAATTGAGGCAAATACAGGAGATAAACATTCTAGAAAAAGAACTATCTGCCGTCCCTCTTTGTTTTAATGCCGCCATTCACAGACATTACCTTCATTGCAAATTCATGGACTCGGTCCCCAGCCCACACTGGATGAGTGTGGGCATCCACCAGACCTAAATGAAACCAGCAACACAAATTAACCCCTGATAGAACATGTACATTTTGAATGCATAATTCTTTCATGCAAGTTTTTTTAATGCCTGAATTTTTAAAAAATTCATTTGAGTGCTTCAAAATACTTGGATATAAACCAGATTCCCCAGTGATTTGCTCTTGGTAAAATATACAAATAACACTTCCTTAATTCAGCTGGAATGCTTTATCATGCTATTTCTTTTTAATCTCCTATATGGTAAGGTACTATGACTGTGTATGAGGGAGCCTGAAAACGTGGCTAGAGCACTTAATTTAGAATCAAGAAGATTTAGGACCATGTCTGCTTCTGACCCTTCCAAATGTGAGAACTTGGCCAAGTCACTATTCTCCTCTATAGAGGAAGCCTCATTTCCCTCATCTGTAAAAATCAATCAATATTAAGTGCCTGCCATCTGTCAAGCATTATAGAAGTCACTGAAGATGTAAAAAGAAAATAGTTCCTGCCCTCATGAACAGTACTGTCAAACTCAAGTAGAAACAGGGGTCATTAAACTATACATAAAGATCCCTTCCCTGTATCATAGTGACTCAGAAAACCACATATTAACATTATCTATGTTCTATTGTATTCTAGTTTATTTTGTTAAATATTTCCTAGTTACATTTTAACCTGTTCTGGCTGGTTTGTTTCTTCATGTTTGATATATCTGTTCAAGAAGCTTACATTCTATTGGGGCATACAACAGATAAGTATAAACAGTCATTTAAAAGGGGAGAAAACACTATGACTAGAGACATCAACAAAGTCTTCCCATAGGAGATGACATAGGCTGAGCCTTGAAGGAAGGTAGGGATCCCAAGAGACATTATGACAGAGGAGAGAGTCCCAGACATGGGGGACAGCTTGTTCAAATACACAGCGTCAAGGGAATGAAAGCCAAATTTTGGAACAGCAAGAAAGGGCAGTTTGGCTGGAATGTTGATTGTGAGAAGGGCATGTGTAACAAGCTTGCAAAGGTAGGACGGAGTCAGATTGTGAAAGGCCAAATGGCAGCATCTGTATTTCATCTTAGAGGCAATAGGGGATTACTGAAAGATACTGAGCAGGAGAGTGACATGGGCAGACCTATGCTTTTAGAATGATGGTTTTGGAAGCTATGTGGAGGATGGATCAATGTGGGGAGAGACTGGAAAATAGAGTTGGGGACCAATTGGTGTTTTAATAATCCAGGCAAACAGTTATGAGGGGCTGAACTAGGGTGGTGGCCATATGGGTAGAGAGAAGCGATAGATTTGAGAGAGTTTCAAAGTAGAAGAAACCAGACCTAGCAACTGATTGGATATGGGGAATGTGGTAGAGAGAAGGGCTGAGGATTATTCTGAGGTCACAACACTTGTCTGAAGGGAAAGATGGTAGATTAGATTGTTGTTGTCATTAATCATTTCAGTTGCGTCTGACTCTTCGTGACCTTATTTGAGGTTTTCTTGGCAGAGATACTGGAGTGGTTGGCCATTTCCTTCTCCAGCTCATTTTACAGATGAGGAAACTGAGGCAAACAGGGGTAAATCACTTGCCCAGGGCCACATAGCTAGTAAATGTCTGAGACTGGATTTGACTGTGTCATCTAGCTGCCCAGGACTAGATTGTAAACATCCTAAAGGCAGGTTCTGTCTTTCTTTTTCTTATTTGTATCCCCAGTCTCAGCACAGTGCCTGGCACATAGTGTATATTTAATAAGTGTTTATTGACTTGACGTGATTTGATACGCTCAAGAGAAATTAGAAAATGAATTTTGCATAGATGAATAAAAAATATCATGAAGGTAGGATCAGCAGGACTTGGCAGTTGGTTAGAAGTGAGGGAGAGGAAAGAATCAGAATCATAGAATTTTAGAGATTGAAGAGTCCTTAAAATGATCTAGCATTTGTTGGTTTTCCCAGACTCCTTTGGAAGCCTGGCGAAGCCTTTGGGCCTTTTCTCAGAATCATATTTTTAAAGACATAAAATAAAATACATAGGATTACAAAGGAAACAATTATAATGAAATATGATTATCAAATATATATGTACATGTATGTGTGTATATACATATACACATATACACATATACACACACAGAGCCATTCACGGATCCCAGGTTAGGAATCCGTAGTCCAGCCCAAAACCATCATTTTGTACATGAGGAAGTTAAGGGTCTTTTCCAGGATTCCACAGTGGTATAGAACCTGTACTAGGACCTAGTTTTCCCATCTCGAATCCCCCACATTGTTCCTTCCCTTATTGTATATAATGTATATTGTAAACAAGGATATTTCCACCTTGTTTGAAATACACTGGAATAATAACATAATGACCAAGGCAAACCGAAGGGTTCTAGGCTCCAACTTGGAGTCTAGAATGGATTGGTTCATCTTCAGCGCTGTCCAGCACAACAGGGCTCCCGACCTCAGTGGACGCAAGTATGCAGTCACTTTGTGGTAGATGTAATAATAGCTAGCATTTACATAACACTTTAAGGTTTGCAAAGCACTTTGCAAATATTATACCATTTGATCCTTACCACAACTCCCTGGAAGGTAGGTACTATTTCTATTATCATCCCTATTTTATAAATAAGGAGACTGAGGTTTAGGGAGACAAAGAGACTTGAGTGTCTGAGGCAGACAGAATCATTCAAGGTCACATAGCTAGTGTCAGGCCAGATCTGAATGCAGGTCTTCCCAGCTCACTGCCTCGTTTATCTCTGGAATGGAGAAAGGGGACCCAACTTTTTTGTAATCCAACATTTATATAGCACTTACTATGTGCCAGGTATTGTGCTAAGCGCTTTACAATTATTATCTCCTTTGGTTCTCACAAACAACCCCAGGAGGTAGGTGTTACTATTATCTCCATTTTACAAATGGGGCAACTGAGGCAGACGGAGGTGACGTGACTTGCCCAGGGTCACACAGCTAGTGTCTGAGGCTAGATTTGAACTCATGTCTTTCTGACCCCAGGTCCAGCAGTTCTACCTGCTGGGCTACCTAGCTGCCTAGTATATCCCTGGAATGGAAAAAGGAGGCTCAACTATGCTGTTGCCTCTTGACAAAAAATATTCCTTGAATATAAATAATTCCTTTTGGTCACTAGGCATCATTCTGCACCAGGGTTTTAAACATATAAGGTTTGCAAAGCTGAAGACCAGAGCCTTGGCTCTTGAGCTGGAAGGGGTCTCAGAGGTCAGAGGTTTATTTTATAGATGAGGAAACTGAGGGCCAGAATGTTGAAGTGATTTGTCCAAGGCCACAGCACTAGTAATAGTCAAGATTTGGACTCAAGACTTTTGACCCCGAATTTATTACTCTTCATTCCCTACATAGGTTGAATATTTTGTAATATTCATCTTGGAAAAAATGAACTGGCAAGGATCTGAGTTCAAATGCCTGCACTGCTACATTCTGCCTGTGTGACCTGGAGTGAATTCTGGGTCTCACTATTTTCCCTCTGTGAAATGGGAGAGGAGCAGGATAGGACCAGCTGATCTGTGAGTGACTCCTAACTCTACATACAGGCAGAGCAGCCTGTCACCCATTACCCACTCTCACTACTACCGCAGGGTGCTAAAAAACAACAACAACAACATTTTTAGTGGCTAAACCAAAGTACCTGGTAGAATGCATTTTCCAGAGCAGTCAATCCTTTCTTCAAATGATACTTTCGCAAATTCTCTTCTGATGGTATCAGCCAGACCAACAGCCTTTATGCAACCATCTCTGGGGGAAAAAATGGGATAGGATAATGTAATTCCTTCCATACGTCAGAAGATCTGTGGCTCCATCAGAAAGGACACTCCCATCACCATTGTGGTTGACAACTCCTTTGGGCCTTGATGGATAATTTTGGCAACTGCCATGACCACTTCATGAATCACCTCCTGGTGATGAGGGTTTTCTCACTTCCAAAGACTAGTGTGAAGATGACAGATGGCCATCCACCAAATGTGCTCAGGTCTTCCGGCTTGCTAGGACCTGTCAAAATTTGCTTTCCACTTGCATACACATTGAAAGGGAAGTGGAGAACAAGGAGAACATTGTACACAGTAACAGCAACATTGTGCCATGATCCACTATGCCTGACTTAGCTCTTCTCAGCAATACAATGATCCAAGACGATTCCAAAAGACTGATGATGGAGAATGCTGTCCATATCCAGAGAAAGAACTGACTGAGTCTGAATGCACATCAAAGCGTACTATTTTCACTTTCTTTATTTTTTTGTAGTTTTTTCTTTTTGTTCTGTTTCTTCTTTTACAACATGACTAATACGGAAATATGTTTTACCTAATTGTATATATATATAACTATATCAAATTGCTTACTGTTTTGGGGGGGGAAGGATGGGAGGGAGAAAATTTGGAATTCAAAATTTCATTAAAAAGTGAATGCTAAGGGGCAGCTAGATGGTGCAGTGGATAAAGCTCCAGCCTTGGAGTCAGAAGGACCTGAGTTCAAATCCAGCCTCAGAAACACTTGACACTTACTAGCTGTGTGACCCTGGGCAAGTCACTTAATTCTGACTGCCTCACCAAAAAAATTTTTTTAAAAAAGTGAATGTTAAAAATTGTCTTTACATGTAATTGGAAAAAATAAAATACTATCCTTAAAAAAAAAAGTAAAATGGAGACTTAAGTCAGTTACCCAAATAATTTAAGGGGAAAAAAAACCCCATTCACTTTTGCCTCAAAACTTCCAGGAAATGGAAGAAAAATATTTTGATTTTGTTTTTAAACTGAAATTATTTACACAATTATCTTAATTCTCTTCTTCAGTTTGTGTGTATTAACACAGAAATAATGGTAAGCAATGTTAGGCGAACCCAGTTTCTGCACTTGACATTCATAAGATAAAAATTCATTAGATTTTTTTTTCATCCAGACCTGTGATTTCTTCAGTGCAGGGACTTCCCAGTGTGGAAATTACCTCTCACCACTACATGCTAACTCTTAAGTCTAGAGGTCTTAACTTGAAATCTGGGAACTTGAGAAATATTTTGATAACTGTGTTGCAATATAATTTGTATTTCAATATAATTGCTTTCCCTTGCAATCCTACATATTTTATTTATGCATTTAAAAACATCATCTGAGATGGGGTTGGTAAGCCTCACCAGGTTGTCAAAGGACTCCACAACACAAAAAAGGGTTAGAAGCTCTGCTTTAGACCTCAGTTTTTCTGAATGTGGGTCTTCCCATCAACCATAACCTACTTTGGAGAGCAAAGGACCCCTTTCCATACAAACCTTTCTCATGTTTTGCAATGCTTAGATGCATAATAATAGAAGCAGCATTGTATATACCAAAGGGGACATCAAACCTGGAATCAGGAGACACACATGGATTTAAGGACCTCAGTTTCCTCATCTGTAAAATGGGGATAATAATAGCACCTACCTCCCAGGATTACTGAGGGGATCAAATGAGATTATGTATGTAAAAGGACTTTGAAAACTTTAAAGTGCTGTATAAATGCCAGTAATTATTTTTCTCTTTTTACATTTTATTCAATAGTATTTAATTTTTTCCAATAACATGTAAAGACAATTTTAAACATTAATTTTTTTTAAGATTTTGAGTCCAAATTTTTCTCCTTCCCTCCCTCCCCGAGAAGACAAGCAATCTGAAATAGGTTATACATGTGCAATCATGTAAAACATATTTCTACATTAGTCATGTTGTGAAAGAAGAAACAGAACAAAAGGGAAAAGCCACAAAAAGACTTCAAAAAGTGAAAATAGCATGCCTCAATCTAATGCCAGTTATTATTATTATGAAAGTATTTTGCAAACCCTAAAGTGCCCTATAAATGCCAGCTGTTACTGTGTCTGTAAAGTGCTACAGAAAGGTCAGCCATTATTAAATTTCTTTTATCCTAGCTATTGTCTCATCTTCCAATTATAAGCTCATAAAGCCACAGAGCTGAAGACCTTAGAAGACATCTGGTCCAACCCACTCATTTTACATGCCTTTTTTTTAAAAGAACGGTATTTTTGTAGTGCTTTACAGATATTATCTCATTTTTATTCTTATGATAACCCTGGAATCTAAGTGCTATTCTTATCCCCATTTTACAGATGAGGAAACAGAGGCAGGCAGAGATGAAGTGACTTCCTGGGATCTCCTAATGCCTGAGACCACATTTGACCTCAGGTTTCCTGACTGGAGGGCCGGTGCTCTAACCACTGCACCACCCAGTCGCTCAGTTTTTAACCTCCAAATTCCACATTTGGAACATGCTTCTCAGTTCCAGAGACAAACACACTTTATGAGAAACAAAGCTCCCTCAAAACTCTTCACTTTTGAAGACTGCTACAAGAAAGAACAGAAATATGCCTTGGTCTCTTCCCATCTCAGTGGAATCACACTACTTATACTTTGTCATCTGGACAGCTGCTCTTTTCTCTGCCTGTGACTCCTCAGAGGCTCATTACTACTAATTCAGGGTGCCCCAAAAGTCTTAGCACAGTTTTAAGCTTTAATAGTTCAACTCAGAGAGGTAAATGATGTAGGTATCAGTAGGTCCATTTTACAGATGAGAAAACTAAGGATCAGAGAGGTGAGGCTTTAATTTTCTCATGGCCATCTAACCATACAACTAATGCAAAGATTATTTGGGGGTAGCAGAGGGAGAAGGGTGGTCCAGAACTGAGATTTCATATGCAGAAACTCCCTCCATTGTCACAAATCTGAGAACTCCTTAGTAACTTAAACTCTCACAGAACTGACTGTTAATGCCATTATTAAGTTTAATAGCTGTTAACTATTATTAAATGTAATAGCTTTAAACTATTAAGACTATTGCTAAGTTTAATAAGCTATTAAAACTTAAAACTGCTCTAAGACTTTTGGGGCAGCCCACATCTGAGGCTCAAACAGGTGAGAAGAACTGAAAGGACACTCAGATTTCAAATCGATGCTTTGCTGTCTCTGTGACCCTTACCCTCCCTGAGCCTCAGTTTTCTTATCTGTAAAATGGAGACAATACTTGCATTGAGTGGCAGGGCAATGTGGTAGAGAGAGGGGGTCAACCTTATAGTCAGAAAGACCTGGGTGTAAGTCCTATCCCTGACACATGCTAGCTGGGTGACTATGGTCCAATCATGGAATGTTTCTGAGCTCCCACCCAGTTCCCTAAGAGTTTAAGTTAGTAAGGAGCCATCAGATTTGTGTCAATGGAGGGAGTTTCTGAATGTGAAATCACAGCTCTGGTCCACTCTCCCTCCCCCCCCAAAAATAATAATACTTGAATTGTATGGTTATATGGCCTCTGATCCTCAGTTTCTTCCTCTGTAAAATAGAGCTAGTAATATTTATATCATTTCCCTCCTTGGGCTGTTGGAAGGAAAATGCTTTATTAACCTTTGAGTGCAGTAGAAATATAATTGCTACCACTAATAATATTATACTTATGCCAACTGTGTGACTGTGAGGAAGTCCCTTGACTCCTCTGAGTTCTGTTTACCTTAATTTGTAAAATGAGGATAATAGTGGCATCACCTACCACCCAGGCTTGTGGTGAAGAAAATGCTTTGAACACCATTAAAACACCATATGAATGAGAGTTGTGCTTTTACAGTTGAGGAAACTGAGGCTGAAGAATAAGAAAATGCTTTGAACACCATTAAAACACCACATGAATGAGAGTTGTGGTTTTACAGTTGAGGAGACCGAGGCTGAAAAATTAAATGATTTGCCCAGAGTTACACAGATAATAAGTAAGGCTGGATTTGAACCCAGGTCCATTCTGACTTTCAGCCTCGGGCTCTATTCACTGTACCACCTAGCTAACTCTCATAAGAGAATTGCCTCAGACAAGTATTAGCTATATAATTCCAGGCAACTGATTCTACTCCTCTTCATCTGTTAAATGAAGGTGATGATACTTATACGGTGCCTGCAGTGAGAAAACCTCTAAGCAGAGATGGGAATTACTGAGTTACCTTGGGAAACCCTAATGATCACTTGCCATCCATGTTTTGATAAAGCATTTGCTGGATTAGTGATTTTAATAATACCCACTGGGTCATCTAGATTAGGAAATAGTCTCTATCAGATCACAGGTGGACAACAGGAAGCGACCTCAGCATCCCAGTCCTATCTTCTCATTTTCCAGGATGAGGAAACTGAGGCCCAGGGAGTTTACCACTCACATGGTTATCAAGTGTCTGTGGCAGAACCTTGTAGCTACACCCACAGAGCACTGTTGGCAGAATTTGAACCCAGATTCTCTGACCACAGAGTCAGGACCCTTTCTGCTGTACCATCCTGACCTCCTAACCCACTGTTGGTTCACAGGATTTCAACTGATTGCATGCATTTTAACTAGACGGTTTCTATTTGGAATAATAGTCGAGGAAATAATGCTGGTCCTGGAGTTAAATCTGAATCCTAGCTAGGCTGACTATGTGTGACCTTGGGTAAATCACTGAACTTCCATGCCTCGGTTTCATCATCTGTAAAATGAGATAGTTGGATTAGATGACCTCTAAGGTCCCTTACAGCTTTAGTGCTGTGAAATTGTTTTAACTATCAGCTAGGTGGAACAGAGGCTAGAGTGCTGGATCAAGACCTGAGTTCAAATACTGCTTTAGACACTTCTTGGCTGACTGACTCTGGGCAAGTCACCTTAGCTGTCTGCCTCAGTTTACTCATCTGCAAAATAAAGATAATGATAACAGCATCCACTGAATTCTGTAATAATAATAGCATCCACCTCATCTGTAAAATAAGGATAATAATATCTATGGGGGCAGCTAGGTGGTGCAGTGCGTAGAGCACCGGTTCTGGATTCAGGAGGACCTCAGTTCAAATCCTGCCTCAGACCAAATACTTGACACTTACTAACTGTGTAACCCCGAAGTGATATTAACTCTAATTGCCTATGATAATAATAATAATAATAATAATAATATCTATCTTCCAGGGTTGTGAGGAGCAAATGTGATCATACTGATGAAGCATAAAAGGCTAATTACTTCAGCATCCTCTATGGGACGAAGATCAGTAGCTCCCCCTTCCCTCCCCAGACCCCTTTGAACAGCTGGAGTAAGAAAAAGTGAAAGTTGACAAATACGCAGGGGAAGGACGTGGACTTCCGTTCCCTGCAGATAAGGGCATACAGACACATGTCACCCACATAGGATTTGAAGCCCGAAGAGCGTTAGTGACTCAGGGTGAAAAGTCATTCTGTCTGTCAACAAGCATTTAAGAATCTTAATGGTCGACTGGTCCAAGTGCCTCATTTTTTAAGATCGGAGTGCTAAAGATTAAATAACTTATTCAATATTACACGGGTTGTAAGTGTCAGAGGCAGAATTTGAACCCAGGTTCTCTGACTCCCAAGTCCAGCCGCCTCTCCAGGGCTTTCCCGCCGACCCCACCTAAGGCCAGTCTCACCCAGTTGGAACAGAGGGGCAGCCCGGGAAGGCTGACATACCTGCCCACCACCAGGCTGGCATTCTCCAGGACTGCCAGGCTCCGCATCGCTTCCCCCACCAGATAGGGCTCGCCCTGGGCGCAAACCAGCACCACTTGCTGCGCGTTCTCCAACAGAAGCCTCTGCCCCCCGCTCATTTTCTCGTGGCTGGTGGCTGCAGAGATTCGGGCCTGGGGAAGTGGGAGCTGGGGACAAAGAGGAGGGAGGGCAGTGGCGGCAGCGGGTCGACAGAAGGGGAGGAGCAGGCCAACAGCTCTGGGGGACGGTATGGGGAGGAGTGTGCGTTCCAGAGTCCAAGGGGTCAGTTTTCACTGTGTGTGGCATGGGAAAGAGCTTTCAATTTACCTTTTAAAAGCTAGTTTACAAAATTTTTAAATGAATGTTAAAAATTGTTTTTGCATAAAACTGAGAAAAAAATAAAATACTAAATAAGAAAAAATAAATAAAAGCTAATTTAAGGTGCTCAAAATTTGATCAACCAGTTTGTGTCAGATTCTTTCGAGGGGTTTTCTTGGCAAATATACTGGAGTGGTTTGGCATTTCCTTCTTAGGGGAAACAAAGGTTAAGTCACCTGCATCACACACAACTAGTAAGTGTCTGAGGCTGGAATGAACTCACGGTCTTCCCACTCTAGAACCAGTGCTCTATCTACTGAACCATCTAGCTGCTACTCGCTTAGCACCTACCCAACATTTGATTAAAACCACATTCTGACTTTTAGTATTAAAATTGCTTGAGGCTCAAAAAAATGAAATGACTGGTCCAGGGTCTCACAGCTCCTAAGGATCAGAGATGGACTTGAATTCAGGTCTTACTGACTCCATTTTTTCTGGACTAGTCGGTATGTCATCCAGTATTCTATCCTCTGCTGAGCAGAGAGGAGGAGTTTTCCTGGGGAGCATTTATTTCATTGAAGACCCAGGGGAAGAATTGGTAAATGTTAAAAGAGTGGGTGAACAGACACCATTATAGACAGAGGAAGGGAGGAAAGAGAAGTAAGGGAAATGTGAAAGGATCTGAGAGGGTCTAGGAAAGTCTAGACAGAGGGGACAGAAAGTGGGCAGTAGGGACCCAGAGCCAAAGAACAAGAGGGAGAAACTGAGAGTTCTGGTGAGATGGGGAGGAAGAAACCAGAAAAAAAGAATTCCAGAAATATTAATAATAATAATAATAGCTAACATTTATATAGCATTTATTATGTGCTAGACACTTCACAATTATTATCTCTTTTGATCCTCACAACAACTCTGAGAGGCAGGTGCTATTATTATCCCATTTTACAGATGAGGAAACTGAGGCAAACAGGTTAAGAGATTTGCCCAGGGTCACACAGCTCGTACGCTTCTGAGGCTGAATTTGAACTCAAGTTTGCTCTAACCACCTAGATATGCAGAAAGTAGGTGTTTAGTTCCTAGGGGAGTCTCACCCAGAGGAAAGGACCCAATCTTAGTAAAAGAGGGTGTAGGAACTGAAGAGAAAAGGCATTGTGTTACAGTGGAGGTCCCCTGGACTTGAAGTCACAAGATCAGAGATGGAGAGTGAGAAGTGACCTTAGAGGACAACTCCCCTCACATGTGGATAATAGCTAGCATTTACATAGTTTATAATTATATATCAAAACTATGTTCTGTACTTACATATTATATAGCTTAAACTTAAGTTTTAGAAAGCACTTTAGGAACATTATCTCATTTTATCCTTACAACAACCCTAGGGGAGTAGATACTTGTCCCCATTTGACAGACAAGAAAACTGAGGCAGGCAGCCATTATGGAACTTGCTGGGATTGCCCAGCTCTTTAAGTGTTTGAGGCTGGATCTGAACTCTGGTTTTTCTTATTTGGGGCCCAGCACTCTACCCACTGAAACCCTTATCTGCCTCCGGGACGCTAAGATCACAGATTTAGAGCTGGAAGGGACCTCAGAAGGGACTTTCTAGTCCCAACCCCTTCTTTTAAAGGTGGTTGAGGCCCAGGGAGGGTTTTGCCCAAAAGTACACAGGTAATGCATATAGGAAGTGGAATTCGAATCCAGGTCTTCTGGTGGGTTCTAATCCTGCCTCTGCCACGGGCCAGACACTCAGCGTCTCAGACTCTCCCTATATATAATGGGGATGGGGCGGGGAGGGGAGGAGGGGTGTAAAATAATGCAGCTAGAAGGTAGGCGCAGCTTGCTAAAATGCAACACGCCTTGGCTTAAAGGACCTGGGTTCGAATCCTACTTTTTGCCACTTAGTGCCCTTGTTCAGTCGTTCAGTCGTGTCCGACACTACATAAAGTCCATGGTATTTTCTTGGCAAAGACGCTAGAGTGGTTTGTCGTTTCGTTCTCCAATGTGTCCCATTTTACAGATGAAGAACTGAGGCAAGTAGGGGTTAAGTGACTTGTCCAAGGTCACACAGCTAGTAAGTATTTGGGGTTGAATTTGAACTCAGATCTTCCTGTCATTATGCCCCATGCTCTATCCACTGCATCACCTAGTTGCCATTACAATCTCTAGCTGGTCCCTAATGTTGCTTAGGGCTCTAAATGCTGCGATCCGTGGGGGAGGGAAGGGACTGGCGCGTGGGGGAGGGCCTCGCGGGCTCGCGAGGAAGGGAGGGGTCGCACAACGCATCCAGCTGTTGAGCGGCTAGACTTCCAGCGCTTACATAGGACTCCCAGGGCAGGTGCAGGTGCGGAGGGGAAGAGAATTGGACTGAAACTGGCCCGGGTCTCACGGACTCCCCCAGGAATGCTCCCACCTGGATGGTCCCCGCGCCTTCCTGCAGTGGGAGACCGGTGGCTTTCCTTCTCCAGCCCCGCTTTCGCTCTTAGGGATCGCAGACGCGCATCCACCTGCTGGATAGACCCAACTGAAGGTGGAGGCTGGAGAAAAGTCTATTCAGAAAATAATCACCCAACATGGCCTTTCTCTGGCGCCCCTCATCCCTTCTGAAGCCAACCTTTCCCTCCCGTGGTGAAATCTAGCCTTGTCAATGCCAAAGGGCTTGGAGACAACTCCCCTCTCCTCCCACTCCCCTTCTCTTGACCTTGGGTTTTTGTTTTTGTTTTTCGTTTTGGTTTTTTTTGGGGGGGGGGGCGTTTGGCTTTCCTGTTTGAGACTAATCCACTAAAAAGTCCACGCAGACTAAAATTCAGTCCCACAAATGCCTTAAAAGGGCCCAATTTAGTAATGCTTTATAATACTTGATATTAATAGAATGTTCTATAATTTACAGTGTGGTACCAATATAATCTCAAGTATGCTACAGATAAGATGCCTCCTCCATTACCCCATTTTACAGATAAGTAAATGGAGGCTGAGAGAGGTTCTCTGATTTTTCTATGGCTTATTGGAGGCTGGATTGGAGCCCAGGTCGTCTTCTGACTCCAAGATGAACATTATTTCAAAGCTCCCTTATCCTAGACAATATATTTCTCATCACTTCATCCCTATTTGAGGAAATTATATAGGCTGCTGAAAAACCTCCCCAAATCTGTTGTTTATCAAGACTCAAAAAGTTACTAGAATTCTTAAACTGGAATTTGAAGGGGAAGGTTGGGGATGGGGGGTTGGCCCTGGGGATGGGGGGTTGGCCCCGGGAATGGCTTGATTCTATGTTCAAATCCCATTTGTGCCACAAACTAGTTGTATGAACTTGGGCAAATCATTGAACCCCTCTAGGCCTTAGTTTACTTGTCTGTAAAATGTGTGGTTTAGGCTGGATGACCTCCAAGGTTTCTTCCCACCCTAAATCAAAGCCCTGAAGAGCCTAGGTCAACCAAATGGTATTGTTAGCTATTACTGGTAGAAATCCCCGTCTGATGGTGATCTATTTCTCTTTTAAAAAATTCTTATTATAGAGGCAGCGTGTGAAGGGCATCTGATTCTGATTCCACTCACCAAGAGCACTTCCTGGATCAACCCTTCTCCTGTGTATTACATCGAATTGGCCCTGCCCAGGTAGTTTCTGCGAATAGCAACCTCTGTCCTTTCTTTCTTCACCTTCTTCCTTATCCTTGGCCTCACTGTCATCGAAGTGTTAGTTCATGGGGCCATTTGTCTCACAAATTTCATTGGCAAGCCTTGGAAAATATCAGAAAATTAGCAGGAAAACAGGTTTCTGCTTTGCATTTCAATTGAGTTTAAAAGGCTGCAATTTTAGAGTCTTTCAGGGGTGGTGGGGAATAGGCAGAAATTGTACAGATGCTTACGGAAAGGGGGCTCTTTAAAAAAGAAAGGATGGAAAAAGAAAATAGTAAGACCCGATGAGGGAGGAAAGGAGAAAAATAAGATCATTAAAGTAGAAAAGAGTTATAAAATTTTGAAAAGCCTCATCTTTAAACCCTAAGTCAAGGAAATGAAAATCCCAGAGTTTCACTAGCCTGACAAATGGTCACCAACTGTTCTTGTCCACTTGTGGTAGAATCATGTCCAGGATGTGCCTAATGGCAATTCATTTTGATTCAAGAGACCCTTAGTTCAAATTCTGCCTCGGACCTAGGGCAAATCACTTAACATTTCTCAGTTTCCTTCTCTCTAAAATGAAGGCCTCCAAGATGCTTTCCAGCTCTACCCCAACACAACCTCCCTTGTAACAGAGAAAAGCAGTTATTTGCTTGGTCTTTAAAGCCCTTCCTAATCTAGCTTCAGTCTACCTTCTCAGAATTATTTTATTTTATTCCCTACCCATTGGGCAGTGTTCCAAGCAAATGGGTCAACTTAATATTCCCTAGACACAGCATTCCATCCACCTCTGTCCTTTGCCTGGAATGAACTCCCTCCTCTCCATCTCTTGGCATCCCCAGATCCCTTCAAGACTTAGCTTGGGCTCTGCCTCCTACAGGAAGTCTTTCCTGATTCTCATTTTGTTTAGTGCTCTCATTGTGCCCCTGAATTATTGTATTTACTTATCTATGAATGTATTGTATCTCCAGTAGAAGGTAAGGTCCTTGAGGGTAGGGGCTCTTTGTATCTTGAATGGCCTACTGTATGTAATACACACATGGAATGTGATTAAATGCTAGCTGGATCAGTTTGTACTGTATTCACCCAGCCGTCAACTTAGTTCGGAGCCAGTCTCCGTTCTCTCATTTCTATAGTTTATCACCCAACTGCCAAAATGGTCTTCCAGTTTTGGTCTTCCAAACGGTCTTCCGTTAGTCTTCCTAATGCACAGTTCTGGCTACATCCACCATTTTTACTAGATTTCTCTTGCACATGGGACTAAACACAAGCTCCTTAGGGTGGCCCTAACTTGAAGTGAATTGATTCAAATCACTTCCAAATCAGGCTATGGGTTGCAACTGAACTTCTTACCTAGCTCTAACAGAGGCTCTGGATCTATAGACCCCATCCATTTGCTTAAGTAGCAGTGCCTTGTAGTATATAGAGAGCTGGCTTCCAAGTCAAAGACCTGGGTTCAAGTTTGGTCTCTGACAGATCCTGGCTATGGGACCCTTAACCTCTCAGTGCACCCAAACTCTAAAGACTCTAAGCAGAAGGGCAGATTCCAATCTGAATTAATTGAGCCAATCAACAAGCATTTATTAAGTGCCTACTATGTGCCCGCACTATGCTAAGTGCTGGGGATACAAAAAAAGGCAAAAGACAGTCCCTGCCCTCAAGGAGCTTACAATCTAGCAGGGATGTTCCTCCGTTAAAGGAAGTTTCCTCACTGGGAGATTTTTATGGCCCCCTGCAAAATTTTCATATTAATCACCTGAGACGCAGATACCAAGTGATGGGTTTCTTTGGCCTCCACAATTCATTAAACATAGTAAGTAGAGAGGGTTGCATTCTGCACAGACAGAGGGAGTTACCACCCGAATCAGGCATCCTGGGAATCGAGGGAGTCAGGACGGGAACATCCAGAATGTTGCCCAACTATTCAGGTAACAGCAGGACAGTGCATCCCTTCTGGGCCTCTTTGACCACTCAGGCTTCACTTGGCTCATTCAAAGCCACAATGGGCTAATGTTTGGAATGGGGCTTCTTTAGGGATAGGGACCAGTCCTCTTATTTCACCAATATAGGAAACTCCCCAATGAAATAACTCACCAATCAAAATTGGCACCTTCTCGCCAACTTACCGTCTCAGAGGGTGGCTACAGCCCAGAGGAATTCAATAAATTGCCCAAGTGCACCCAGCCAGGAGGTGTCAGGGGTGGCATTTGAACTTGGATATTTTTGCTCTGAGGTTGGCTCTCTATGATACCAGACTATCTCTTGGGCTTCTTTATGTTTCAGTGATAAATGTCAGCATCTTCTATTCTCTGTGTGACCCTGGGCAAGTCACTAAACCTCTCTTTGCCTCAGTTTCCTCATCTGTAAAATAGGGATAATAATAGCAACTACCCCAAATGGTGATTGTGAGGATCTAACGAGATAAAAATTGTAAAGTGCTTAGCACAATGCCAGGGCACATAGTAGGTGCTTTATAAACATTAGCTATTATTACTAATTATCATTATTCTCTTGACAGGAGGAGAAGAAGTCATCATGTCATCAAAATTATTACCCATCATATCGACTATGTCTACTAGAGAGAAAGAAGGTATTTTATTCATTCATATTCATCCTCAGAAAGGTTTTCTGGAGTGGCTGTCTACTCGGTGCCAGGCATAGTGCTAAGTGCCAGGGAGAAAAAGCCAGAAATGAATAAGTTAATGAATTAAATGGTTAATGAAAAACATTAAGTACCTATGCTGCGCCAGGCACTGAATTAGGTGAAAGGGTTAGAAAGACAAAATTGAAATGGAGACTGGCCTCAAAGGGCTTGCCCTTTGCTAAAGTTAATGCTACCTCCCTAGCTGTGCACTAATTTAAGACTTGTTTTTACCTACGAATAATTTAGAATTTAGGAAGTTAGGTAGAAGATATCTCACCTCCATTAAAATCAAGCAAATCAACTGGAAAATCAGGAGGCAAAGTGAATTTCATATTCGTTCCCTTTTCAAACTCAGGAAATTTAATGATTCATGATAATGAGAAAATGGAGAGTCAGCTTGGTATAGGGTTTGCCTGGAGTAAAGAAGGAAAGAAATAAATATTCATTAAGCACCTACTGTGTGCCAGGCTCTGTACTAAGAGCTTTACAAATATGATCTCATTTGATGCTCATAGTAGCCCTGTATTATGTAGGTAGCTGCTATTATTATCCCCATTTTACAAATGAGAAACTGAGGCAGAGATTGGTAAAGTGACTTGCTGCTAGTCACACAGCTAGTAAGTGTCTGAGGCTGGATTTGAACTCAAGTCTTCCTAACTCCAAATCCAGCACTGTATCCACTCAATGCCTCTGCCTAAAGAAGAATCTTGTCTTTAATGCATCCTGCCTTTATGACTCTGAATGAACCACCAAAGCTCTTGGTGTTCTAGCAATTCTCTTAACACTTTAAATTGCAGAGAAGGTGCCAACCTGCATTGGTAAAGGGGGTTTCCCCATCTGAGAGTTCCCTGTCTCAGTGAAATCAGAGGTCCAGCCCTTATCTGACCACTCTCATAATCAAGGGGTTGAGAATTCTTCCTTTGCCCTTTTCAATGGGGAGGTAAACTTAAGTCTGAGAATTTACTGTGTTCCCTCTAAACTGGGGAAGAAGCTAGTGCAGAATTGTCCCCAGTAGAGATACTTATTTTCCACAAAGTGCCACTTCTAGTCTGGCAGAAGAGACCATCAGGTGTGTGATTAAGGGAGTACTTGGGAAAGGGGTAGGGCCACTGGAGTTGCCTTTTATGAGGGCGAAAGGTGTAATATGTAAATAATGTAATGTTTAAAAGTGCTGAGGAACAGGGCAGCTAGATGGTGCAGTGGATGGAGCACCAGCCCTAGAGTTGGGAGGACCCGAGTTCAAATGTGACCTCAGATATATACTAGCTGTGTGACCCTGGGCAAGTCACTTAACTCTGATTGCTTCCAAAAACAAGTGTTGGGGAACAGTTGAAAATCTGGATACCTAGACAGGTTAGGGAAATAAGGACTCCAAGTTAACAATTCATTGCAAGATCTGATTTTTCACTAATATTATTCCCCACCCCCGCCTTAGACAATTGCTTGGAAAATCAACCATTTTTATGTTTTTAAGGGGCAGCATGGTATGGTGGAAAGGGCACTGGACTTGGAATCAGGAACACCTAGGATTAAAACCTGTCTCAGACACTTACTAACTGTATGACCTTGAGCAAATCACTTCATCTTGATCAGCCTCAGTTTCCTTATCTGTAAAAATGATGGGGCTGGACTCTGAAGTCCCTTCCAGCCCAAAATCTATAATCCTATGATCATTAAAGCCCTGAAATTATTTCCCTTAGTAGTAACTCATAGCTAAAACACCTACAGCTTAAGGATATCTGTCTCCTCTAAATGTTTAAGTGGGGAAGAAAATGATGTTTAGTAAATCACTTCATTTTTCTGGTCCTCAGGTTCTTCATCTGAAAAAGGAGTTGGGATGATGATTCTCCAGCTCTAAAGCTATAATCTTATCATTCTGTCATAGCTGTAGCCTTTTATCTTGGGTTAAAACTGAAGAGTCATTAAAAAAAAATTTTTTCCTCCATATTTTATTTATCAGGAAAGCAGCGACCCCTGGTGGAAATGTATGAAAACTGATCCACCAGTCTCTTGACCTCTGGCCTCCTGCATCTTCCTCTAGACCATACTGCCCTCGGGTTGGTGAATGGACTTTAAGTTTGGGTTGGAGGAAGAGAAGTTGAGAAAGGGTTAGAGCATCAGTGCTGACTAGGACCCCAGGGAGAAGGACACAATTGGACCACAGGCTGCCACAAAAGGAGTTGATGGTACAGGGGATAGAGCCCTGGGTCTGGAGTCAGGAAGACCTGAGTTCAAATCTAGCCTCAGACACTTACTTAATAGCTGTGTGACCCTGGGCAAGTCACTTTACTTCTATCTGCCTCAGTTTCCTCAACTATAAAAGGTTTGTGAGGATCAAATTAGATAATATCTATAAAGTGCTTAGCACAGTACCTGGCACATAGAAGGTGCTTAATAAATACTCATTCCATTCTGTTCCACTAAGGAACCAAGGACAGCACGGAGGGGGCCAGGCATGGAAGACAAACTTCACGGACTTTCCATCCTCAGTAGAATTGTGTCTTATGACCTCCAGATTGAATAACCACTAAATTATACTGCATATTTTTATAAAAGTGACCCTGAAGACAACTTTCCTTTCCTCTGACAGAAAATGGAAATAAATCCACCTGTGAAAAAAACATGCCATATACATATTATTTCGAAGATATGTTTCTTTTCAAAAAAAAAGAACTAGAAGAAAAGGAAAGGGTAAGTGTTTCCAACTATGACCATAGTTAATCAAATTAGTACCATAAGATCATTTCCTGTCAAGGCTTTATTGTTTCTCATACATTGTATTATGAATGAAGGAATAAAAAAGCATTTATTAATTTATTTTATTTATTATTTATAATTTATTAGTTAATTTATTTGTTAATTTAAAAAGCATTTATTAACGGGTCAAACACTGGGGTAGGCCCTGGAAATAAATACAAAACTCAAAGAGAGTCCCTGCTCAGAGGGAGCTTACATTCTAATGGGAGAGTGTTATCCAATATTTAAGCTCATCTGTATTGTAGATATTAGAGTATCATCTGAACTTTGTTATGTGTGGTCAGGTAAGAGTGGGCTGAGGAGCTGTGGCGGTGCACTGGAACCCTCAGGACCGTACGGGACCCAGAAGAAGGCTTCTGGTACATTGGCTAGGCTCCCTCTGGAGCAAGCTGAGACAATAGGAGACATTTATTCAGCACCTACTGTGTGCCAGCCAGGTATTGTGCTAGATGCTCACATGGTATTTTCTTGGTTTGGGAGGTTTTTTTGTTTGTTTGTTTGTTTTTGGTGAGTCAATTGGGGTTAAGTGACTTGTCCAAGGTCACACAGCTAATAAGTGTCAAGAGTCTGAGGTCCCATTAGAACTCAGGTCCTCCTGACTCCAGGGCCAGTGCCCTGTTCTGCACCACCTAGCTGCCCCATCACAGGGTGTTTTCTATTACTTTAGCCTTAGCTAGAGATTTCCCAATAACAACGACATACGGGTTACCCTCATTCTACAATTCTGCTAGAAGAAATACAACAGATGAGTAGATACAAAGTAATTTTCCCCAATCGAATGTAAGCTCCTTCAGGGCAGAGATATTAGGGGTTTTTTTTGTTTGTTTGTTTGTTTTAATTTGTGCTCCTACTGCTTAATTTGGTGCTTGGTACATAGTTGTCCACATTGTTTCAGTCGTATCTTATTCTTCCTGACCCCATTTGGGGTTACCTTGGCAAAAACACTGGAGTGATTTTCCATTTCCTTCTCCAGCTTGTTTGACAGATGAGGAAGCTGAGTCAACAGGGTGAATTGATTTGCCCAGGGTCATACAGCTATTAAGTGTCTGAAGTTGGATCTGAACACACGTCTTCCTGAATCCAAGGACAGAGCCCAGTGCCACCTAGCTGCAGTGGCAAATGCTTTTCCACTCCATTCATTGAGATTTGTGGGTTTTTTTCAATACTTGGATATAGAAGGTTGCCTTTTTTTGGCATCAGATCTGTACTTTCCCTGGGTATGGAGCATGAGTCTCGGTGTATGAGGGGGATGGATGCTAAAGTTCCCTTCTACTCTAAATCCTATAACCCAGAGGGGCATTTCCTTTTATTCTTTCATGTCCCTAGTAAAGCCAAAGCCTCTTAATACAACTTCTTGGACAGTGCAAAACTTTGGAGAATAAAATCATAACAGTAGCTTCCTTCCCTCCCCTCTCTCTCCTCCCCTTTCTTTCCATCATCACCTCTCCGTTCTCATTCTCTTCCTTCTTCTCTTCTCTCATCTCCTTCCCCCTCCCCATTTTAGTCTTCATAAAATTTCAGGTTTTCATTTACAACTTTACTCAGCTTTTAATTGGAAGCAAAGGCTTCCAATTATAATGCCAATTATGAAGATATCAAAGAAAGATAATAGAACCTTAGAGCTGGAAGGTAACCCCACTTTACACATGAGAAAACTGAGGCCAGTGACTTGCCCAAGACAACACAGCTATTGTTGAACCTGTCATAGCCAGATTCTCTGACTCCAAATCCAATTCTCTCGCTGGTACCATCCTGTACAATTTATTTCATTTGCAAAGAATTTGCTACGTATGCTTCGTGGACTAACAGCAAAGAATACATTCCAGGGATGTATGTCCCATTACTTCTGGACCAAACAATAATACATTATGCTGGAAAATCTTATTTAATCTTCTATATGTGCAGGAAAAAATTGTGAACCGTGGGAAGAAAGTACATGAAAAAACTACCTTTTCATCCAGAATGAAGAATCGATCACATCTGGGAGAAATAAATATTCCCACTGAAACAGCATCTTGTGAAATTGGTCTGGATTCTGCCATCATCCTTAGCGTTATAGAAAGTGAGTAAAAATCACCCAGTGTTTGTGTGATATACCTTTAATTAAAGCAGTAATTTAGATATGGCCAGCTATAGGCTGCTAAATGTTTACTAAGTGGGGGGAGGGAGAATTAATGAATGCATGACACACTTTTAAGTTTAAATTGTATTATTAACATTTTCTCCATCACTTTCTTAAGACTAGACCAGGGATCAAGAAACAATCACCTTTGGCTGCTGGCAATAGTTTGCTGACCTCTGGTCTGGACAATCAGTCAAATAATAAATCAAACCCTGAAGACTTGTGAGGTGTAAATTTTCCGTTGGTTTTTCGGTTGTGTCTGACTCTTCATGGCCCCATTTGGGGTTTTCTTGGCAAAGGTACTAGAATGGTTTGCCATTTCCTTCTCCAGCTCATTTGACAGATGAGGAAACTGAGGCAAACAGAGTTAAGTGCCTCGCCCAAGGTCACATAGTAAGTGTCTGAGGCCAGATTTGAACTCAGGAAGATGAGTCTTTCTGCCACGGTATCTGCTGTGCCACCCAACTACCCAAGGCTTGGAATATTGAAGGTGCTTAATAAACGGTTTTTTGGACCAGATTCACTGAATTGCAATAGAGTCAGATAAGTACCTATTATCTGCAGCCCAGTATAATGCATTCTCATAGTGACAGCTGTGAGCCATCTAGAACAGTTTAAATTAAATTTTGTCTTCCCTGTTTAATATTTACATGATGGTGGGCACAAAAACTCAACCTGGCTTATGTAAAGATCCAAAAATTAACACTAGAAGGGACCTCAAAGATCATTTAGTGAAAACTTCGATACATGCAAGTATGGCATACTAGGTATACTGAGTATATATTAATTATAGTCATGTTACCATTTAATCTAAAATTAGTGCTGATTAACTTGGACTGATACTGACCTCAAGCTAAATGTGTTTCAATTCTCTTAAAAGGAAGTACAGACACAAAAAAGTCCTTACAAGAATTTATTCACGATCAAAGAGAAAGGTTTATGCTGGAGGTAATAAATGAAATGTATTTTTTCTATAAGTGCAGAGTAGAACTATTTAATAGCATTGCTAATGGATGTTTTGAAAGCATTTTGCACTTAATGAATTTATAGGTACTTTGCTCAAAATTGTAGGTCAGTCATTCATGTCCAACTCTTTGTGACTCTGTGGGCCATATCATCCAAGAGGTTTCCTTGGCAAAGATACTGGAGTGGTTTGCCATCTTGCTCAAAATAAGTAATAATAACTCACCTTTACATAATATTTGCTATGTGCCAGGCAATGCGCTCTGTAACTAACTTATATGAGTTCTTTTCATATTCTAATGTGACCGTTGCCAACCCAAGAGTTACTGACCCATAGAGTTATTGCAAGGAGTCTGAGGAGGCTTAGCTGCAAAAAAAGCACCAGCCATTTTATTAAATGACTCAGTAGAATAGACAAGCAAATATAACTTATGTAAATTCGAATGCATGTAGATACTGTTGTAGTCAAACAGAAACTCACTTAAAAAGTCACTGAATTTATGGCTTTTAATCATAGTGTATTTTTTCAATCAATGTATACTAGTAATACAATTACTATTATGTAGCATGAAGAAATTTTTGAAATTACAAGAGTCCCCATACTGAAAAATTAACTATTTGGGGGACCTAGCAGGCCAGAGGGGAACCAACCTAGGTTGCTGCTAATATGGAAAGCTGTCTAGAGTATAATTGGTTTTGAGTTCTCATTCTCTATTAATTCTCCTAGAGGGGACTCCTGTCTGATAGTCCAGATAAGGAACAGAGAAATCACTACATGCTCTGTAATTGTATCTTTGTTGTTGTTCAGTTGTTTCAGTCATGTCTGACTCTTCATGACACCATTTGGAGTTTTCTTGGCAAAGATACTGGGGTATGGAAAGGGGTATGCCCTTTCCTTCTCCAGCTCATTTTATAGATGAAGAAACTGAGGTAAACAGGGTGAAATGACTTGCCCAGAGTCACACAGCTCGGGTCTTCCTGATTCCAGGCCCAACACTCTATCCACTGCACCACCTAGCTACACTATAATTATATATCCTATAATTATTCCAGTTTAGACCATTTATAGTAATAGCTGTAGCTTTTATTCTGGACCTAGAACTTATATTTGGAGCAAAACTATACAAAGAAAAGGCATGATTGTTTCATGTCTACCTATGTGTATATATATGTATTTTGTGTAGGTGTATGTCTATATATATAAATATATATATAGTATGTATTTTTATGAATAGGTAGTGTATATATTTATATAATTATAGATATAACAGAATTGAAGACCAAATAGTGGCTAATATGGCAAGAGGGAGGAATAATGAGTAAATTCAGCAAGTTCAAAAGCTACCTCCCATACTTATCAGCTATTCAACCTCAGGCAAATCACTAAATCACTCTCAGACTCAGTCTCCTCATCTGTAAAATAAGTATTATTGTGACTGGATGCTACCTAAAAGATCATGAAATCTTATTCTTTTTTTCGGGGGAAGCAATGGGGTGAAGTGACTTGCCCAGGGTCACATAGCTAGTAAGTGTCAAGTGTCTGGGCCAGATTTGAACTCAGGTCTTCCTGAATCCAGGGCCAGTACTCTAACATCAAATCTTATTCTTGCCCTTTACATATAAAGATATCAAGACTCAAAGAAATTAAGGGAATTGCTGAAAGATCACACTTCCCAGTGTTCTGAGTTTCTGGAAGCTCTTTTTCGCTTGAGTGCTTGTTTCTTTGTTTTCCATTTTTGTGGCTAGCATTGGAAGGATGAAATAAATTTGTCTGACATTTACCTGGAATAACGTCATCAATATTTCTTGTACCTTTGTCTTCGTAGTACACCTTAGCAACCCAAAGGAAAACAATGATGAAGCTTCAGAAATGTATGGAGATCCAAGAGCAGCAATTCCTTAATGCAGAAAAAAGACTTCAAGAAGATGCCTTTGCTTTTGAAGAATTTCTCCGAGAAAATGACCAGAAATCGGTAGATGCTTTGAAAATGTTAGCATCATTATTCCCTATTTTTAAGAAGTTGTATTGCAAAGCATGGTTTGGTATATTGTTTGTTTAAACACCAAAGCAAAACTATTTTTTATTCCCTTTTAGAGCAGCACAAGAAACCATTGGCAAACTCCAAATGGCATCAGAGTTAAAGAAGGCTAATTTGGAAATCCAGGCTGTGAAAAGGTGAGGGTATCCTGGAGCCTCTGATCGTCTTCTAGTTCCAGTAAGATATAAGATCCATGAGGACAGGGACAGTTTTCCACTCTACCTTTATATCCCCAATGCCTAGCACACTGTCCTGCACATAGGAGGATCTGAATAAAATTTTGTTGGATTGAGTTGGTTCCCTGCCTAGACAGAAGCTCCCTGAAGGGACAGACCTTGTCTCCTCCAAACGTTTCATCTCTCATAACATCCAGTGCATTGTCTCGCTTCTTCACACAGTGGGATGGTTGTTCTTGCTGTGATGGTAGTAGACCTGGTCATGAGTCTAGGATGCTTTCTGTGACTTTAACGTCATATTCAGTCATCTCAAACTTTTTTTACTTTAGTTAGTTTTAGTTAGGTTTTTTAGTTAACTAGTTAAATTGAACTTTTGGAAATGTCTGGAAACATGACTAGGCTTTACTACGACAACATTTTGGGAAGAACAGTTGGGCTCGGTCATTAGGGTCACAGTCTACTTCCATTTCTATCACAATTGAAATGCTTCTCCCTGCAATGTTTCACCAAGTCTTTTTTAAAAAATTCTTTTTTGCAAGAGGCAGTATTTTACTACAGAGGCAGAATTTTTCTGTATCCTCAAAACTGAATGTAGCATGTTTCAGATAGAAACATTTTTTAAAATTCCATTTCCTCTTGCTAGCAAGATCAAGTGTTTGTCCCAAGCCTCTCTATGACTTAAGAATAGAAAATTCCCTTTAACTCCAGGTAATTCCTCATCAACAACTTGAATCCCTTTCCTCCCCCCTATACCACCCCCCCACCCCCCACCCCCCTACTTCATTTAAAATTTTTTTTTATTTTTATTTATTTATTTTTTTTGGTGAGGCAATCGGGGTTAAGTGACTTGCCCAGGGTCACACAGCTAGTAAGTGTCAAGTGTTTGGTCTGAGGCCAGATTTGAACTCAGGTCTTCCTGACTTCAGGGCCGGTGCTTTATCCACTGTGCCACCTAGCTGCCCCTATAGCATTTTATTTTTATTTATTTTTTTCCCCCACTTCAAACCATATTAATTTGCCACATTCCAAACAAACTCCAAAGAACTGTATGAATCTGAAGCACAAAAGGGTTTTCTCAGCCTCCAAGATCTTCCAGGTCTGCCATGTTAAAAAATGTATGGCAAGAAATGAAGAACAAATAGGCTTGGCGTCACCAAGAAATATACCCCAAGTGCTTGGATTACGGAACTAAGTGGAAGAGTCCATTACCCAAGGTTTCAGGACGTTAGTAAATTTAATTAATTAGTTAGTTTAATTCATTAGTTTAATTAGTTAATTTAATCAACACTCGTTAATCTACATACCACTAACGTGTTAAAAAAAGCAAATTGGAGTAGAAAGTGCTTTTATGATATAATATTGTTGCTAAATGCAAGGTTTTTTGACATGGTGTGTCCTGAAGTAAATATCAATTAACTATGAAAAAACAAAAACAAGCAAACAAAAAATGTCCAGTCAGTTACAGACTCTATGTCCAGCACTCTTCCCACATGCCACCTATAAATGTTGCAGACCTTGACTATGTTTCTAAGAATGGCACAATCACTTTGTCTGTGTTATTTATGGAAACTTTCTTTCAGTCTGTAGTTGCTGTATCTTTGTAGAAAAGAAATGTTGAGTTGTTTCAGTTGTGTCTGATTCTTCATGACCTCATTCCAGGTTTTCTTGGCAGAGATACTAGAGTGACACGCCATTTCCTTCTCTAGCTCATTTTACAAATGAGGAAACTGTGGCAGGCAGGATTAAGTGACTTGCTCAGGGTCACACAGTTAGTAAATGTCTGAGGCTGAATTTGAACTCAGGTCTTCCTGACCCTTCCTGAGTAGATAGCGCTCTATCCACTGCTGCCCCAGAAAAAAGATACAGAACAGGATAAATGTGTGGGGCCAAGTCACAGGATATATTTGGAAACGCTTACCTCTATTAGATTGTGATCTTCTTGAGCACAAGGACTGTCTTTGTCTCTTTTTATATCCAAAGTGCTTAGCACAGTGCCCGGCACACAGTAGATGTTTAACAAATGTTTATTAATTGATCAGTTGATTGATTGATTTGCATAGACTCCTACCTTACTTTATTCTTTCGTTTTTCTATCTCCTTCAACTGAACATGATGTTGCAGACATAAGCAAATGAAGTAGTGTTATTATGTTGCTCTAAGAACCAACATCACTGGGTATTTATTTCAAGTTGCTCCTCCAGAACGTTTCTCATTCCTCCCTGGCACCTTGCTGTAATCCACACTCTTACTAAGTAACTCGGGTTCTACCTCTTACAGGGTGCATTTCCAGAACTTGCTAGTTTAACTCAAGTCCTCAAATTTTTTAAGTGTGAGTTACTATTTGTGTCAATACAGAGAAAAAAGCAAGACAGTCTTTTTCTTCAAAGAGCTCATATTTTCCCAGGCGATGCCATATGTACACATATAAGTAAATACAAAGTACGTACAAAGTTGTCCAAAGTAATTTTGGGAGGGAGAAAACACTAATAACTAAGGTAGGTGGGGTGGGCATCAGGAAAGGATGAAGAAGGTGACATCTTTGCTTTACTTTTAAGGAATCAAAGGAATCTACCAGAGGACATGATCTAAAAGAAACAGGAATATAGACATTTTATAAGCATAATCAAACTCCATGTATAATCAATATCATATTGCTAGCCTTGTCAATAGGTGGGAGGAGAGAAATGCAAAAAAATTTTTAAATGAAGGTTATGATTGCACATGTATTTCCTATATCAGATTACTTACTGTCTTTGGGAAAGGGGTGGGGAGAAAGGGAGGGAGAAAATTTGGAACTCAAATTTTTTTAAAATGAATGTTAAAAATTATTTTTACATGAAATTAGGGAAAAATTAAATACTTAAATGAATGTTAATTTTAAAAAAATTTAATTAGGAAATTTTAAGGAAATAAATAAAAGTATATTTAAAAAATAAAAGCAAAAAAAAGCTATGCTCAGATGTGCTGCCATTTGTAGCAATATTAAAGAGATGATGCGATTAGATTGTTCAATCACTTTGATTTTTCTCCTCACCCTACTACTAACTCACTACCCAGTCGTATTTTTCAGGTATAAACACTCCTCCTTCACTTGTATGAGAAACAGCATACAAGGATCTGTAATTCTCTTTATATTTTTGTTAACTCTGAGCCCCCAGCCAGAGATAGCACTTCTGGCAAATATACCTCAGTGTTATATCTATTTCTTTCTTATCTCTGGGAATGTTTCCCTCCCAGTTGCTTCCTCCTACTGTATTTCTAGTAAGTAGACCTCAACAAATGAAGGCTAGTGTTTACCATCCTTTATAAACACAAAATAAACATTAAAAATAAAGAATGGTAAATAAACTTTCTCCTTTTACCTGTACCATGCCCAGAGGAAAAAGCTTCAGACTTTCATAAAGGGAGGCAGGTGCTATTATTATCCCCTTTTTACAGATAAGGAAACTGAAGCAAACAGATTAAGTGACTTACCCAGGGTCACATAGCTAGCAGGGAGATGTCAGAGGCCACATTTGAAGTCAGGCCTTCCTTATTCCAGGCCTAGCATTCTGGGGCAGTGAGAAATTAAGCCACTTGCCCAAGATTATATAAAGAGTACTTCGGAGTTGAGAATTGAACTCAGGTCTTCCTTACTTGAAGGCCAGCTCTTTCTCCTCTGTGCCTCTCACCTCACACATAGCAGGCATGTAATACCTGCTTGTTGGATTGTATTTAAATGAATTAGTAAGTTTTGTTAAGTGAGCAGGCTCATACAACCTGTCTATGCCAACATAAGGCTAAGAAAATGTAACTTTGCAAAGCAAGATTTCTTTAATTTATTGTGTTTATATACTATCTCATGCTTAATGTAATCTTTGTTATGTTTCTTTTGAGTAGTGAAATTATGAAAACTGAATTCCTTCTTAACGAGTACATAAAATATGGATGTTTTTTACTGAAATTATCTCCCAAGACTTGGCAAGTCCAGCAAACATTAAAGAAAATCAAACCTAAAGACGCTTCTACAGTCCCTAGCCTTCCAAAACTGGTACAAAGTGAGTTATATTGATTCTTCATTATATTCAATAAATATATTCAATATTCTGATATTCTATAAATATCAGAACTGTTTCAGTATTGCATATAATATCAATAATTTTAACTACCTTATGTCTATACACACATTTGGAAAACTATTCTCTCATTAACCTCATAGGTTCCCATGGATTTAATTATCTCTATGCAAATGACCCCAAGGTCTGTATATGCAGCTCTAATCTCTTTCATGAGCTCTAGTTCCACATTTGTTGTTGTGTCTAACTCTTCTTGATGTTATTTAGGGTTTTCTTGGCAAAGATAGTGAAGTGCTTTGCTATTTCCTTCTCCAGCTCATTTGATAGATGAGAAAACCAAGGCAGGCAGGGTTAAGTGACTTGCCCAGGGTCACACAACCAGTAAGGGTCTGAGGCCAGATTTGAACTCAGGAAGATGAGTCTTCCTGACTCGAAGCCCGGTGCTCTGTACACTATGGTGCCACCCAGCTGCCCCCACATTACTGTCCATTGGATATTTCCAACTGGATGTTCTCTAGTCAGGTATATGTCAGGGGCCTACTTAAAACCACTGAGAGTGGATTGTTAAATGTTCAATGTGAACATTTACGTGTCAAAAATTAGCAAAACCTACAAATTAGGGCTTGATTTATTGTGTTGTGATTGTCTGGAATTAAGAAAGTGATGAACAAAATGTTAACAATACAGATTAAACTTAAAAGTGCGTCATATATACATATACATACATGCATGCAAACATACATATGAACCTCTTGTTAAAAAAAGCCCTGTCTGTCAGCTTCTCAGACACAGCATATCTAAAACAGCTCAAAACCACACGTCTCAAGCCTTCTATTTCTTCCAAGGACACTATTACTACATTTCAAGTCCCCCATCCTTAGAATTATCCCTGATTCCTCACACTCCTTCCCCCAACATATCCAATTAGTTGCCAAGTCTTAGGGATTCAACCTCCACAACTTCTCTCATATTCTTCCCCTTCTCTCCACTCATCCAGCCACCGCTTTAGTTAGGTCCCTCATTGCTTCTTGCCTGGACTATTGCAAAACATTCCTAATTGGTCTCCCTGCCTCAAATCTCTTTTCTCTCCATTCCCTCCTCTACACTGCGGCAGCTACCAACGAAATTTTCCTAAGTCTCTCCCCTGCTCAGTAAGCCAGCCAAACTGGCTTTCTTAGTCCCAACAAATTACCCTGTATTTTGTATATTCTTCTGTATGTACATATTGTCCTTGAGGGCATGAAAAGTTTCATTTCTATCTTTCTATCTCCAGTGCCTAGTATAGACCCTGGTACATGGTGGTCAATCAATTCTTGTTGATCAGTTGATGAATATGCATGTAAACATGCATATAAATGTACATATACATATTGCTGAAGAAAAATATTAACACTCTACTATACAGCAGGCACAAATTTTCCAGATACTATTTTATTAGTTTATCATTATTTTAAATTCAAGCATTGTTCTGCTTAAGAGAAAACTGGGTAGAGTCCCCTTCTTCCTTGGATAGCTAACATAAGACATATTTGAAGTTACAGATATAGAAGTCTTGAACAAGGAACTTTCACTGTATGATAAAACATGAAACAGCTCAGGGTAAAATAAAACTTAACATTTTGCTTCGTCAAACAAAACAATAGTTCTTTAATCCTAGAAGATTCCTTTTCTAAAACTAGTCAATCCCTCCACAGGATTTAACTTGGAGTCTTTAAACTTGTTCTTAAAAATATTTTGATAGCTGCATTTTGGTATAAGTGGCTTCCTTTGCAATCTTGGGGATTTTATTTTCTGCATTTACAAACATCATTCCAAGAAGGCGTCCAAAGCCTTCATCAGAAACTGAGAACCATTCCCCTCAAGGACTGTCAGTTCCACCACCCCCACTCCACGTTGGTCACAGGTGACCCATAGTAATCAGAGACTTCCTCCCTCTGATCAAAATCCTAATCCCTTCATAAAAATGGGGAAAGAAGGTATTACCCTTAGGTGAGTCTTAGTAATTCGAATCTCTTCTGGGCATTTAGAAGAGGCTACTGCTCTTCCACAATAATTACCTGAGGGGAGGAGTCCTTCCTGGGCTGATCTGAGAGGGGGGAGCAGGACATTGTTTCACAGTTGCTGGAGAAAGACTAATCAGATTAGTTCTCAGGCTGCAGGGTAGGAGGCTTTTTATCTTTTTTTTTTTTGAAAAACTGGGTATCCCCATCTCCCCCATGCTGGTAGTGCAGGGGCTACCCGCAGACCCAGTTTCACTAGTAATTAATGTGGGTGCTTTGAACTGATTTTCAATCTGAAGTGGTTCACCAATCTGGTGGTCTTCCACTTCCAGCAGTTGCCCATATTATTTCCAGACTTACTGTGGACACCTGATTGGCTGAGCTGTACTCATGCGCAGAATTCCTAAGCTCAAGGGATCTGCCAGCCTTGGCTTCCTAGGTAGGGTGGGCTTATAGGAGTATACTGCCATACCTGGTAGACTACAATGCTTTCAAAATGCTTTCTTAATATGTTTTAAAGGGACAGCAAGGTCCCATAGTGAATAATAGAGGGTAGACTTGGAGTCAGAAAGAAATGAGTTTGAACCCCCACTTACTTAGATACTAGCTGGGTGACCCCGCGCCATTCACTTAACCTCTCTTGAGCCTCAGTTTCCTCATCTATATGAATGAATAATAATCGGGGGCAGCTAGGTGGTACAATGGATAGAGCTCTGGTCTTGAAGTCAGGAGGACCTGAGTTCAAATCCGGTCTCAGACACATAACACTTACTAGCTGTGTGACCCTGGGCAAGTCACTTAACCCTGATTGCCTCACCAAAAAAAAAAAAAAAGAATTAATAATAAGAGCACCTACTTCATAGGGTTGTTGCGAAGGTCAAATGTAATATGTGTAAGAGTTTGGCAAACCTCAAAGCACTGTGCACAAATTTTAGGTATTATTATTATTATTATTATTTCTATTGTTATAAGCTGTTATAACCTAGAAAGTATCAGGGGAGCAACCAGGATGCTAAAGAACCTCAAGATTGTCACATCATATTAGGATTGGTTGTGCCATTAATCCTCAGAAAGATCAGAAGACCCATGAGCACTAGCAAACTACTCACTTATTCAAATGATTCAACATTATTTTTATTAAGTATGGATTATGAGTAAGGCATCATATATTAATGTAGTGCCTGCCTAAGATTTCCATTTTGCTTATGATGGTATTTTTTTCGCTTAGGATCATAGATTTAGATCTGAAAGGGACCTCAGAGGTCATTAAGTACAATCCCCCTCATTTTACAGATGAGAAAACTAAGGCTGACTGAGGTTAGGTGACTTGCCCAGGTCACACAGGTAGTAAATATCTAAAGCTGGATTTGAACCTAATTCCAAGACTATCACTTTTTCCACCTAACTTCTTAGTTGCCTTAGTAATCTTTGAGACAGTTGGGAATATTTGGAGAAATTGGCTCAATTGTTTGCTTCTCTCAGATTTTTCTCATCTAAGTTATCAAATCTTTTGCTGTAAGAAATGTTGTTTCTATGTTGTTTCTTTATGTTGTTTCTACAATTCTATGTATGTTTCTTTATGTTGTTTCTATAATTTGAATTCATTATGTCACACCAATAGCTTTGCCATTCTTGATAGCTGAATAATTTAAGAATTTTGTTTTTTGTCTTCAATCCAGAACCATCAATTGTGAAGAAGTCAAAGTTAGACAAGGACAGTCCAAGGAAAGCTTCAGGAATATCCACTACAGAAGATGGTAACCCTTCAAATCTAAATAACTTTGAAGACTGCCATGTCAGTGGATAGTAACCTATAATGTACTAGCAGCCTACACACTTCTGACTGAGTTGTTTAACTCACCATCTACATTAATTTGTCTTAGCATGATTGGTCAGAGATGAGAAGAAAGGAAAACATGTATATTTGCTTTGGATGCTCTGTCCTCTCTTTTTTCCCTTCTCCAACTCCTAAAGTGCCCTCCCTTTATTTTCCTCAATCTGTTATTTCCATTTAAGATTTATCAATTATTATGTAGTATAGTACTGGAAAAGTGCAAATTTCTGATTTTCAGAAAATGAAAGAGAGTAGAATCTTCCAATGATAGGCCAGTGAGCTTAACTTCAATTTCTGGCAGAATTCTAGAACATATTGTATTTTTTGGGGGGAAGGGGCTAGGCAATGAGGTTAAGTGACTTGTCCAGGGTCACACAGCTAGTTCAGTGTCAGAGGCCAGATTTGAACTCAGGTCCTCCTGACTCCAGAGCTGATGATCTATCCACTGCACCTCCTAGCTGCCCCTAGAACATATTTTTAAAAGGATAGTTAGTGAACCTCTAGAAAAGGAGGTAGTCATCACAGAGAATCAACATGAAGAACAGGTCATGCCAGGCTAACCTTATTTCCTGTTTTGACAATGGTACTAAACTGATGGATTAGGGGAATACTATAGAGCTGGTCAGTGGTATGCTAGTAAATAATTAACCAGTTCTCTAGAAATGCACAAACACTGCTAAGCTTGATTCTAGTCTTTTTGTAAATTTTTGGGAGTAACCTAAGTATACTTCTTCTCCATTACTTTCTTCAGTCTAGAAAATCAAGAAAAAATAAATTAAGCCCAGATTTGTAGTGTTTGCCAATTTCTGAGTTGTAAATGCTCACACTGAAAATTTAATAAAGGAAGCCAGTATGAACTGACTCCAGCATACCCCTTGTATGGTTTACCAGGATGGTAGCCCAGCATTTGGTGTTTTTTTGGTTTTTTTTTTTGCTTGTTTATTTTTTTAAGGAAAGATAGCAGAATATGGAATAGGTAATAGTATAAATAGATGAATTTAAAATTGATTGAATGAATGGATTAAAAAAAGTTGTAGTCATTAATGGTTCAACAAATACCCCAAGTGGCACATTTTTGTGAGTGATTTAGATAAAAGCACAGATGGCAGGCATCTCAGATTTTCAGGTGCAAAAAAGTTGGGAAAAGTAACTAACATGTTAGAAGACAGAATTCCAACCTAAAGGCATTTTGACAGATTAGAACATGGTACCAAATCTAATAAGATGTTATTTAATAGTGTTACAAATAAAGTATTTCACTTGAATTTTTTTTAAAACAATCAAACTTTACCAATATGATCTGGGGTACATGTAGTTAGACATTACTTCCACTGAAAAGGATCTGAAGTTTTTAGTTGAATTACAAACTCCACACAATATGGTAGCCAATAAGCTAATATTATCTCAGTCTGCTTGAGATGAAGTGTAGTGCCCTGGACTAGAGGGATGATAGTCCCACTGTACTATGCCTTGGTCAGATCCCATTTGACAGATTGTGTTCATTTCTGGGTGCCATATTTGAGCAAGGACATAGATAATCTAGAAAGGAGCCAGGGGGGTGCAACAAGGACAGGGTTGGGCCTTAAGATTTTGCTCTACTAAGGATCAGTTGGTTGAAATAGGGATGGTTAGCCTAAAGAATGTGACTGGCTGTTGGAATGTGAACAAAAAATTAACATGGTTAGTGAGATAAATGTGTCTGAGAAATCTGAACACACAGAAATGACTGACCATGGCTGTATCTTCAATATGGAAGCCAGTATGTCCATCCCAGGGCTGGACATACCTTTGGTATATAAAAAAAACCCTAGTTTTTCATAACACAAGACATGTATATATTTGATCTTTTATTTCCTCCTCTTTAATATGGGAAGGAAAAACCCATCTTCCTCTTCTTGGTCTCTCAGAGAATTCTTCTGAGATTTTGACAAAAGTCAACGAGCCAGATAGGCAGATCAACGTGGAAGTGTTGCCCTGTAGCTTACATCTAGCAGGCAGTTGGGAAATTGGTTTGCATATATTTATCCGTGGATGCCATTGATTCTTTCTAGTAAAATGTAAGCCTCTTGAGGGCAGGGATTGCTTTGTTTTTGTATCTCCAGAATCTAGCACCATGCTTGGCACGTAGTAAGATTTTTTTAAAGTCATATAAATCATATTTCCATATTAGCCATGTTCCAAAACAACAACAATAATAAAAAGCAAGAAACATAAAATAGTGAAAAAAATATGCTTCAATCTACACTCAGAGTTCACTATTTCACTCTATGGAGATGAGTAGCATTTTTCATCATAGGTCCCTTAGAATTGTCTTAGATCATTGTCTTGATTAGCATGACTAAGTCTTCCACAGTTGATCATTGTTATAATATTGCTATTGCTGTGTATAATGTTTTCCTGGGCCTGCTCATTTCACTTTGCATCAGTTCATGTAAGTCTTTACTGGTTTTTCTGAAAGTATCCCCCTCGTCATTTCTTACAGTACAATAGTATTCCATCACAATCATATACCACAACTTGTTCAGCCATTCCCCATTGATAGGCATCCCCTCAATTTCCAGTTCTTTGGCACCACAAAAAGAGCTGCTATAAATGTTTTTGTACATATAGGCCCTTTTCCCTTTTCTTTGATCCCTTTGGGATACATACTTAATAGTTGTATTGCTGGGTCAAAGGGCATGCACAGTTTTATAGTCCTTTTGGCATAGTTCCAAATTGTTCTCCAGAATGACTGGATAAGTTCACAACTCTACCAACAATGCATTAACATCCCTTTTTTTTCCCCACATCCCCTCCAGCATTTATTATTTTTGTTTTCTGTCATGTTAGCCACTATAATACGCTTGAAGTGGTACCTCAGAGTTGTTTTAATATACATTTCTTATTTTTTCATGTGACTGATGATAGCTTTGATTTCTTCTTCTGAAAACTACCTGTTCACATTCTTTGACCATTTGTCAATTGGAAAATGGCTCTTATTTTTATAAATATGGCTCAGTTCCTTACATATTTGAGGAATGAGGCCTTTATCTGAGAAACTTATAAATTATCCCCCCAGTTTTCTGCTTTCCTTCTAATCCTGGCTGCATTGGCTTTGTTTGTGCCAAACCTTTTTAATCACATGTAATCAAAATTATCCATTTTGCTCCCCAAGATCTTCTCTATCTCTTATCTGGTCATAAAATCTTCCCCTATCCATAGCTCTGACAGGTAATTTTTTTCCATGCTCTCCTAATTTACTTATGATATCACCCTTTATGTCTAAATTATTTACCCATTTTGACCTGATGTATACAGTGTGAGATAATGGTCTATGCCTAGTTTCTGCTGAAGCGCTTTGCAGCTTTTCAGCAGTTTTTGTCAAATAGGGAGATCTTGCCCCAAAAGCTTGGATCTTAGGGTTTATCAAACTCTAGATTACAATGGTCATTTACTACTGTGTATTGTGTACCTAATCTACTCTACTAATCCATCGCTTTCTTTCTTAGCCAGTACCAGATAGTTTTGATGATTACTACCTTGTAATGTAGTTTGAAATCTGGTACTGCTAAGCCACCATCCTTTACATGTTTTTCCATAGAGGTCCTTGATATTTTTTACTTTTTTTTCTTCCAGATGAATTTTCCCCCAGCTCTATAAAATAGTTTCATTGGTATGGCACTAAATAAATAAATAAATTCCATAAAAATTTTCATTTTCCTTCTACTGGCTTAGCCTACCTATGAGCAATTGATATTTTTTCATCTCTACCTCTTCTTGCTGGATTTAGCTGGTAATATATAGAAATGCTGATGATTTATGTGGGTTTATTTTATATCCTGCAACTTTGTTAAAGTTGTTCATTGTTTAAACTAGTTTTTGTAATTGATTCTTTAGAGTTATCTAAGTAAACCATCATATTATCTGCAAAGTTTTGTTTCTTCATTGCCTGCTTTTATTTCTTTAATTTCTTTTTCTTGTCTCATTACTACAGCTAGCATTTCTAATACAAGATTGAATAATTGTGGTGATAATAGACATTCTTACTTCACTCCTGATTTTACCGAGAAGACTTCTAATATATCCCTATTATAGATAATACATGCTCCTGGTTTTAGATAATTATTATTTTTCATTTTAAGGAAGGTTCCATTTACTTTCTTTCTACATTGCTTTCTAATGATTTTTTTTTCGAATAGGAATGGGTATTGTATTTTGTCCAAAGTTTTTTCTACATCTATTGATATAATCATATGATTTTTGTTGTTTTTGTTATTGATAATGGTCAATCATGCCAATAGTTTTCCTAATATTGAACCAGCCTTGCATTCCTAGTATAAATCCCCCTTTGTCATAGTATATGATCTTTGTGATACATTGCTGTAATCTCCTTGATAGTATTTTATTTAAAATTTTTGCATGGATAGTCATTAGGGAAATTGGTCTATAGTTTTTTTTCTCTGTTGGTACTCTCCCTGGTTTAGGTATCAAGACCGTATTTGTGTCATAGAAGGAATTTCTTAGGACTCCTTCTTTACCTATTTTCAAAAATAGTTTATATTGTTTTTCTCTTCTTTCTCTATTTTAGTCACATAAGCATTTAGAGATATAAAATTTCCCCTAAGAACCACTTTCGCTGCATCCCATAAGTTTTAGTATGTTGTCTCATTATTGTCATTCTCTTGGATGAAGTTATTGATTGTTTCTATGATTTGTTGTTTGACCCACTCATTCTTTAAGATTAGATTATTTAGTTCCCAATTAATTTTTAGTCTATCTTTCCATGACCCTTTATTACATGTAATTTTTATTGCACCATGATCTGAAAAGGATGCATTTAATATTTCTGCCTTTCTGCATTGGATTGTGAGGTTTTTATGCCCTAGTACATGGTCAATTTTTGTGTGGGTGCCATGTACCACTAAGAAAAAAGGTATATTCCTT